TCCGCTTGCAGCATCACGGGCATTGTACCGCCGCTGCTGGCCTGCAGGTCCAAGTGAAGCCGCCGCTGCAAACCCTGACCGCGATCCCCTTTGCCGCCGCCGCCGCTGGAGCCGCCGCCGTTGCCCACGCCCAGGTTACCCCCCATGCGGCCAGTATGCGGTCCTGCCGCCGCCCCTGCCCCAGCCCCTGCCGCGGCAGTACCCTCCCCACGCGGCACCGTTTCGAGATGGTCCCGCGGCCGCTTCTTCCGGGCTCCCGTTCCCGAGCGCGGGTGCTGCCCGTGCAACGGCTTCTGCTGCCCCTGCGCTGGTTGCTGCTGTTGTTTGCGGTTGTCCTTGCCAGCCCCCGCTGCTGCTGCCTCACTAGGTCGCCCTCCACCGCGGTGGCCGTGACCGTGGCTCCGGCTGCGGTTGCCGCCGCGGCCACCGCCGAGAGTACCCGACCCGGGGCCCGGCGCCACCGAAGCTACTCGTCGACGTGAGCCAGTCAGCCCGGGGCCCACCTCCATCTCCTCCTCCTCCTCCCCATCCTCCTGCTGCCTCACAGCTGCCGCCGCCGCTGCCGTCGCTGCCGCTGCCCCACCTTCCTTGCCGGGGTAGGCCTGGTCGGTCCAAGCAAACCCGCCAGTGGCTTCCCCACCACCCCCCAACCCGAAGCCGAAACTGGCGCCAATGTCCGTCGCCACGCTGGAGCCCCTCAGCTCTGTTGCCGCCGCGCCGGCAGCCGGCGGTGCACGCCACGCCCCCTGTGTGCCCTCCTCCATAAGCCCCTCCGGGTCATCCTCCCCAGCCAGCTCCTCTGTGGAGAAGCGAGTCGCCATGCGGCCAGGACGGCGAAAAGACACGGAAAACACGGACGCGTCGGGGCCGTTGACGTCGCCGCCGGCGGCGGCTGCAGCGGCGCCTCCGCTGAGGTCCATCACCACATCCCGCAGCGGCCCCTCCGGCACCCATGCTAGCCGCCCCGTGAAGCGCCTGTCGGGATGTACGTCACGCACACCGCCGCTGCCAGTGCCAGTGCCCGCGCCACCTGCCGCCGCCGCCGCCGCCGCTGAGAGGAGGCGCCGCCGTAGGTCGTCCTCGTGGCCGGAAGCCGCGGCCAGCAAGCCGAAGTCGGTGGGGAAGCGCGAGGCGGGGTTGCTCCGGGGAAGCCAGGACCAGGATTCCGGTCCCTCGGGGCCGAGGATGCGTTGCAGGAGCGCGCGGTGGTCGTCGGCCAGTGCGTAGTGATCGAACCGGACGATTAGGCGCTCACCTCCGCCGGCAGGGGAGCCGGCTGTTGTGATATCGCCCCTTTCGGTGGTGCTGGCACCGCCGCCGCCAACGCTGTTCTCGGCCTCGACTGTCCCGTCGGTCGTCGGTTCGGCAGAATCCAAGCCGTGGCGGCTTGAATCCGGCGGAGCTGGCAGGCTGGATGAGGATTCATGGGCCGATTCGGGGGAGATTTGGAGGAAATGTGGGCCGACGGGGCCGCTGGCTAGCTGCTGTCGTATTGCTGGGTCATTGGCGCCGCGCCCGAGTGCAGCTGTTGTAACCGGTCCGATGCCAGCGTCTGCGCTGCGGGAGCTTTCCCTAATGGAGGCGTGTGGCGGGATGCTCGTGTCGTGGATGGCGCTTGTGTTGCTGATGGGAGAGAAGCAAATGCGGCCGCTTCCCGCATTCACCGGCAACCACGATGAAGGTAAGGGTTTGGTGGCGCCCCTCGGATGAAGCTGCCTTATTTCATCAGAGGCTGATTTCCCGCCGGTGCAGGTATGTCGGCCAAAGACCTTGCTGTAGAAAACTTCATACACGACGATGTTGCAAAGACATTTTTCGTCGCTGTCGTGTCCCTGACTTCCGTCACTATTATTTATATTTCTTGCAAGGAAATCAGTCGATAAAGCTGCGTTGGCGTGTACCGCTGATAGAATAAGGCTGAGGCAAGCACAATGCCAGCTCCGTAATGTCCAGCGATCGCCGCCTCTACCTCCGTCAACGTTCAACACGTGCACCATAATCCTGTATCAGCTGGTGCATTCGCCGTTGCGGCACATCACCCTCAACGCTGCCTTACGAACCAGGCCTGCTCCCAAAGACTCGAGTTTTGAATATGTACAAAACAATTTTGGGTGTAGGAGACGCACCGCTTATCCCGTAAACAGACCTCGTACCCGTTTCTTTATCCCTGTCAGTAAACATAGATTGGAGCAAAACTGTTGCATACAACGATAAGAGTTGATCTGCTAGTCATGTTCCCAAGTATCTCAATAACCGTTGGTAGAAAGCATGCTTTTGGACAAACGGTGCAGGGTTCTATGCCGTTCGAGCTTAGCGAATGCACAAGTCCACATCAGGCTACCATGTTGCGTGGGCTGCTGAATCACTACGTGTATGCAAATACTTTTAACAACAGCTGAAGTTATCCAACTAACCTTCCAGGCCTGGTCCAAGGCCGTACTCTGGTCCAACTGAAAACGGCTACATCGCATACATCGAATCGAAAAGCAAGTGAGGGGAGACCCTTACATGATGTGTATGATTGTTTCCTTACCAAGGAAACCATCAATTGAAGTTTACGGTTTGTGCAGTGCCGCGCGGCTTTTGCAGCACAGCGTCTGGCTGTAGCTGAGAATCACAGCACTACTCGTGCCAAATGCCTAGTTCACAACGCCTACTATGGCCTGATGCCGCGGCTCGGATGGTAGAGAAGGACATTAGTCCCTCGGCTCCTCCATTCCAAGCCGCGGTCCCATGCAGCGCGCCCCGTCTGATCCCGTCCGAATGGAGCATACGTAGGCGTGGTGGAGGCTGTCACCGTATGGCTAAGGTAAATGTTGTCCGGGCAGTCTGTCGCCTGGTTAGTTGTTTTCTGCTGTGCTTCGGTGCCATATTGAGTAATATCCTGATCGACTGTCGAACTGGAATAAGATAAATTAAATGCTATCCTCGCTTGTCTGGAATGCTTATAAAATAGTGAGTTGTGGCTGGGCTGAACCGTTAGTTGCTTTTGTAACGCTCTGGCAATCACTATTGCATCCGATCCATTTCGCCTTTTATGGTATGACTAGGCATCGTACAACTGCTCAACCTGGGTTGCCGCCACGACATCTCAATGCGGCCGTACGTGTCTCAGGAAAGGCAACTTACATAGGTGAGGAGATGGGCGGGTATGAAAGAAGGGCATATGGTGCGAAAGAGAAAGGCCTGTCCAATATGGGGTGTGAGGATTTAAGAGGTTGCGCTAAGTGGCATGCAACAACGCTGTCAACGTGATTCTTGCCTCGTTTGACTCCCTCCCGCTCCCCGCGCCCGTAAAGGCTCTGGGTTGTGACGCGGTAGGGGAGGAGGAGTGATGCGGCTGCTGAAGAGGAGAATTGGCCTGCGGGGCTGGTGGCTGGAAAGTTACATTACTTTCTCGCATTCCACCAACACCACATTCCACCAATCTGCATTCATCCTTCTGTCCCGCACTCCTTGCAGGCCTACATCTGCGGTATCGGGGGCACACATGGCCATATCCTAAACATCCCTCCCTGCCATCCATTCCCTGCTTAATCCTTCGCGTTTACCACGTCTCCTTTGGCCCACTCTTTGTGATCGCGATCCCCACCGCCATCAAGTTTAATGTATGTGCGAGAGGAAAAGCCCTCAAGAAATCTTAAGCTACTTATCCTGATCCTTATCCGTATCATAATCCTAATCGGAGTTCTTTGTGCAGCCAGCAGCAGCAGCAGCAGCAGCAGCTAATTAGACTGGAAGTGAAATATCCATCGTACCCTAAATCCATTGCAGGAGAAAGTCCTGCATACATATGGTTCCACGTGACAAGAGCCTTGGCACCCAGGCACCAAGGCCAACCAGCACAATGAAGAAGCCCGCAACGAAAACTCCCCCCTCCGATACCACGTCCCCTTCAACCACGTGTCTGTCCTTTATATTTGGCCGCAACTTGCTTCCGCAGGGCCGAAATTAGCATGGCATTGCCAGCCGCAATCGTTCGTACACATCCATCCATCCATCCAATCCATCGGTCCATCAAATTGTTATCCGTCCGCCCCTTCATCGACTCCCTTTGCGGTCAGCAATGGACCTCGCGGCCTATTGGTAAAGAGCAACACCCCGCAAATACCCAACACTGGATGAGGAACCATGCCGCTCGGCTGGTGGAAGGTTTGTCCTTTGCCGCGCTGTCCATTACTCCTCCTCCTCCTCCTACGCTTCCTCCTCCGGCAAACCCATATCTTCAGTTCCACCCCACGGGTTTGCCGAGCCGCTACTCGACAACACGAGTCCCAATACACATCAATCAGAGTCCCGGCGAGTCACAGCAAACTACCCCGCCATTCACCTGACGCCAATTTTGGGTTTAACGCCTTTCTACCCCCGGCCCCATGGGGACCCCATTCCCTCCCTCTTCTGAACCATCCATATCGTGTTCCTAAGCCGACTCACCAAACTGCAGAGAGCCGTACATAGGTAAAAGCTGCCGGAGACGAGAAGAAAAGATGGTTAAAATGAACGTGACACTTAAATGTCGTGACATGGCAGCGGCCCCCCTGACTCACCCACACACGCACATGCGCACACAGCGCCTACGCAAGCGGCTCCGCGGTCCGGAACCCCGCAGGAAGTAACCCACCAGCAGCGACATCCCTCCTACCGATACCACCACCACCACCACCACCAGCAGCATTAGCATCGCTAACTAGCTCCACCACATCCCAGGGCTCGCAAGGCGCCCCGGCAACAACGCCACCGCCACCAGACACCCCACGCCTTTCAGATTCGGGAGCATCGTACGGCGTGCGAGTTCTTCCGCCTCTGCTGCCGCCGCCGTGTTGCCGCGGTGGTTGCTGGTGGTGCTGGCGCTGGTAGAAGAATGGAGGCCAGTACCTGGGGCTGCTGCCATCGCCAACTGCGGTGAAGTCGTCATTGCCGCGGTAACCCATAGTGTTGGGGCGGCTGTTGCTGTTGTTGTTGGTGTTGTTGGTGTTGCCGTGCAGGCGAGGTACCCCGGACAGGTGACCCAGCGGGCTGGGGACTCAAGCACCGGGTGTGGTCAGGTAGAGTTACAACACTCTAAACGTATGAGTGGTGCTCGCGTGGTGTAGTGGTCATCACTGTGGACTTTGAATCCACCAACCCGAGTTCGAGTCTCGGCGCGAGCTTTGTATGTCCGATTTGATCGGGCGACGTCTTATATGTTATAACGAAATATATGGTCTCGAGACCTTGGGGAAATCCAGAGATCATGCCATGGTCTTGGGCAAGTTAACTGATTCCCCAGTCGTTGGACTGAGATTTAGTTGATGGACTATGTTCGCATGCTGAAGGGGTGGCAATAGACGATTAGTCCTCACGGATTTCGGGTGTCTGAATAAGGTGGAGTCTAATTAGGAGGCGGAATCATCTTACAACATCATAGCCTCCCGACTTTGGTGACCAGACTCGCGCCCTCCCACGGAAGCAATCCTGTCTGCAGGTACCTCTTCGTCTGGACGGGTCCTACGTAAGCGGTAAGGCACCTGCTCACGAGAACCACGGTTCTAGGCTCAGGGCCCTTCAGGTTCCAAGGTGTAAATGTGCAGTCTACTACTGTAAAAGAGGGGCGATGACGGGACCGTCGGTTCACTCTTCTCTCGTCAAGGTGAGGGAGTTGGGGAAAACGCTGCCAGGTGGCGGTTGCAGCTCCTTCCCCGGAGGTGCTCCCCGCACACGGGGTGCGTGCATCCCCGGGGGAGAGGTAACTCGAGTGGGGAGTGCACCGCGGTTTTGCGGTGAGGCAAGATAAAGGTGAAGTGAAGTGAAGTGAAGTGGGAATCATATGACGCGAAAGTAAAGAAGACAGTAGCTGCCGAGATCACGTCGCAAGCACCAACTGCCGTAGGGAGTCCTGTAATGAGGTGCGGTGGAGGTTGTGCCGCCTGCCGTACGAGCCCCAGCCCCAGCCCCAGCCCCAACCCCAGCCCCAGTGGAATCTGCCCCCGAATCAACGGCGACGACAACTCCACTCTCCTGGTCGGTCGGCTCGCAGGCCACTAAAGTCGGGACCACCACCGTTCATCGGCACGAGGGTGCTTCCTCCCTTGACGGTAAAGAGGAATCTAACCCGCTCATTGTCGGAATCGATCCCATGGATATCTTTCCAGAAGGTGGTGTAACACACGAACATCGCCTACCTGTGGAAGTTGAGCAGGTAGGCCCCAGTGCCGCACAGCAGCCCGATCGCAGCTCCGGCGTTGATGTCGGCGGGTGCGTGCTTGTAGTTGACCACCCGGGTAGCCGCTATGAACGCCGCCACACCCAGGGGACTGCCGCACACAAGCGCCAGAGCGAACTGACCCTGCGCCACGTGGGCAAGGGCGGGCCACGTGGGAAAGGGAGGGATTGCATGCAAAATAGTTTGTGTGAGTAGATGAAATGAATGCAGGAGGGAAAAGTGTGTGTGTGTTACATGGTTGGGGGGTGCGTGACCCCATACCTGTAAGACTACCCATACGAGCCGAAGGCCCAAGGGCAATACTACAACGCCTAAAAGCCACGGAGAAAAGGGAAAAAAAACACCGCACATCAGCCCAGACTAGCGTCCAAAGGGGGTAATTGAGTTTCGGTGAGCCCACATACGTTCCAACATCCTCGCCAGGCGTGCGGGTTCCCATTGCATGGCCTCCAACATACTCTGTTGATGATCGAATCCCTCTTCAGCACGAATATCATTATAGGCATGGCATTCCAATAACACGTGTTTTTCATCCTCAATTCGGCTATTAGGACCACAACAGTGGCAAAAACGCTGCCCCCTGGGAACATGGTACTTGCCCCTTCGTGCTCTGTTCGCCTCCAAAGCCCAGCAACATAAACGAAACTGCATTAGCTTACGATGTGCTAAACGAGGAATGAAAACATTAGCATGTGTTGGCCACATGACGGCTGCGGCTCCCGAAAAGGGCAGCCCCATCCAGTGCTTATACTTCGCCATTTGCACTCCCGGTTGCTTCCCATCTGATGGGTACTCCTCTGGCAAGACAGTCAGACGCGTATGGTCCCAGCCGCTCATCAAACGCTCTCTTAGTGCCGTTATTATCGCTCCTTCTGGTAGAGGTCTACTCAACAACCAGTCAACACGCTCCTTTACCCCCACGACTTCTTGCGGTATTCCGCTCCAAATGTTGCACTCCAAGAAGGAAAACAGTCGTAACATTGAGATTCCCCAACCCTCCCATTCCGGTTTGGTCAGGGCATCGGTTATCTCGTGCCGTAAAACTGCATGAGCAATGGATCCCACTTGCTTTTGAAGCGGGTTCCAGAAACGGAGAATCTGCTTCACCATGTAATATTGGAAGGGGAGTTCAGCCAGCTCCGCGTACAACAGCCTGTGGGATGGCCGTGCCGTCCCCACTACCTGCCTCATGAATAAAATCTGCAGCTGGACTGCACTATCCTTCAAACAGGCTTCGAACATGCCCTCCGCAAGGTTGGCTTTATCCCGCCGCCTTCCCGCCCTGTCCACGACCTCTGCCAGCGCAAAAGGGCCCCACGCCTGGCAGCCATACAACAGAATTGCTCGGACTTGGGTTGCAAAACACCGCATTCGCACATCGGGGGCAAACAGCTTCATTTTGTCCAGCTTTGCGCTTAAGGAAAACATAGCGGACCGACCTGTATCACACAACTGCTGACGGCACGCACTAAAAGGCCGTTCTGGCCCATATACCAAGCCCAGATAGCGAGCGCTATCTTTGGCAGGTACTACCTGGCCTGATAGCCGTAACTGTTGACATCTCCCGCTAAGTTCCGACTGCTGGGTGCCGTCACATGCAAAAACAAGCCTTTCACACTTTGAGACATTTGGTCGCATCCCAAAAGCTTCACAAAACAAGTCCACAAGATGTAGCAACTCAGACATTCGCTCTACTGACGTCGCTAGCAGACTAACATCGTCTGCATACAACAGTATGGAGACGCGCTTGCTGTCCACAAGGGGTGCGTCACACTTACGTGCACCAGCATCTACAAGGTCATGAGTATCAATCAGATCGGCTAGTGTCTCGATGAAGACTCCAAACAACTCCGTAGATAAAGGACACCCTTGCTTCACTCCTTGCTTAGACTCAAACTCTCCCCCCACTTTCTCATTTACCTTCATCACCATGGACACCTTCTCGTACGCTTTTCTCAGAGCAGAGGAGGGGAAAGTGACACAAGGCAAGATAAAGCGAAAAAGGCTCCCGAAAGGATTATCGTAAGATAAACGACGGTAAACAGCAGCAGCAGCAGTAATACGATGTTGGGTGGCGGTTCAGCACGTACCGTCTTTCGTGTTCCCGAGAACAGCCCGATGTGACCCGCCAAGAACAGGGACAGCAGGGCGGCGGCGGTGGCGCTGAGGCCTGCGTGGCCGCTAGGGTAGGCCATACGGCCGTCGGAAACGACCCGTGGGTCACCTGTGGCCACATCCGCGAACCTGGGTGCATTCGGCGGGGAGGGGACGAGGGCTTGGACGGGTCGCTGGTAGGATCCGAAGGGAGGAAGGGGGCGGCGTGTCCACACTTACGCCATCCAGTCGCATGAAAGAGATTCCAGGTTTCAGGTGATCATGCCAAGACAGGGAAGCAGGCAGCGTCCCGGCTACACCATTCCTAGTTTTGGCTATATCTTCATTTTATAGTGTTGAAAGAATGCGAGTCTTGAGTTTACAATAGGTCAGCATTCCAAATGCAGGGGGAATCGGGCAATAGATGACTGCGGATTCCCAAATGCGTGAGGCGGGCAGCGGGGTAGGGGGCCGACGGGAAGGAGGGCCAGATAAAGGAAGGATGGATGCCTTGGAGGGTGGTGCGGCACAGAGGTCAACCAACAAGGAGCGATCCAAAAGGCCGAAGCCAACCTCCGGACTCACGACGTGAGTCGCCGCAAGCAGGTGCCGTACTTGCGTTGCCGGGCGGTTTAGGCATGTACTATACCGAGTGGTACATTGGCAGCGTCCTGCCCCTCCCCCCTTCCCGGCCCTGTCCCGCGAGGGCCCTCCCCCCCCCCGGCCCCCCTTCCCCCCGCCCCTCACCAGTCGGGTCGGTAGACACCCGTCAGGTTGAGGCAGTGCTTGAAAAGTACAAGTACGGCAGTGCCCTCCGCAAGACTCAGTAACCCGTGATGCCTGAGGGCAGCGAGACCGCCAATCATCAAACATACGCACGTAAATGCATACATGCATACATACATACATGCATACACGATTCTCTACAAGAAGGGCGACCCCGAGCAACCCGGGAACTATCGCCCCACACACTGCTGTGCTCCAATTACCGCCTGCTCGCCGCCAAGGTACTGGCAAACCGCCTGCGGCCGGCCCTGGGGTGCATCGTCACCCCCGAGCAGTCAGCCTTCCTCCCCAAACGGCTCATCGGGGCCAGTGTGGTGTTCCTATCCCACCCCCTCCGCAAGCAGAACCGCCGGGGTCGCCTGGCGTTCCTGGACTTTGCGGAGGCGTACGACACGGCGGACCGGGGCTTACTGATAGCCGTGATGGAGGCGATGGGGCCGGGCCCGCAGCTGTGCAGCTGGGTTCGGCTGCTGCTCAGCACGGACCCGCACCCGGACCCGCACCCGTACTCACAGCAGTACCAGCTGTCCGGAAGCCAGTGCTGTGAGGAGGAACACGGCTGTGGGGCCCCCCAGGCTGATGGCCAACAGCGCGTAGGTGGGGATGGTGTCGGAGCGACGGGGGTAGCTCAGAGCTGGGTCGCCCGGCGTGGCGAAGCGGTTGATGGGTTGGATGGTCTGAGCGGATCGGTTGGCGGTTAGCAGTTGGCAGTTGGGTGACATTGGAGGAATGGTGGGAAGGCCGGCAAGGGTGGGTGGGAGGGCGATTGTTGGGCATGACGATTGTGTGCAACAGCAAATAGCAAACGCGTCGAGACCGCACACACACACACACACACACACACACACACACACACTCCCGCACCCTCACCATCACACTCCGTCCCCGGCCTTGCGGCTACACTCCTTCGCCGAGGGCCCCTGCCCCTTCATTTTTGCTTTATCGGCAACAGCAGCAGCAGCAGCGGCAGCAGCAACAGTGTCAGCACCTTGAGCGGCACCATGAAGTCGAACACCAGCAGACCAGCCGCCAGCACCCAGTCCAATAAATACGATGTCATCCAGATCGCACGCAACCAGACGCGCGCATGGCCGTCGCGTTGTTGGCGCCAGTCCCGCTCCGAAACCGGATCCTGCGGCACCAGGGGCTCCCTGGAGCTTTGGTGTGGCCGGGGTTCTGAGGCGCGCAGCGGCCAGGTCGGCAACCAAGCTCTGCCGCCGACGCCGCCGACGCCGCCGACGCCGCCGACGCCGCCGACGCCGCCAGCGCTGCTGCCGGCGCCAACCTCGTTGATACGGCGGGTGGCGGCTCCGCCGCCACCATGCTCGCCAACACCCGCTACATCGCCGTTATTATTGCTGCACACGGCGGGATCGGCGTTGAGGGCCATTCGATGTTCCGGGGAGCCGTACTGCGTGGCAAGGGTCTGCCGTACGGGTGGTGACGGCAACTCCTGGTGATCTTGTTGCGGATGCTGTTGCTGCTTCATGTATTCGTGTCGTCGCTGCTGCAGTAGCAGCAACGGCCTGCCCGGGCCGGGTGCCGTCGGCGGCCGGGACAGCTCTGTCGAGGGTCCCCCGGATGACACACCCGGGCTGAGAACGGGGAACAACTCGCCCGGCGTCGCTCCTCCTCTCCCCGGTCCCGCTGCCGCTGCCGCCGCTCTGCAGCCGGGAGCTGCCGAGGCCGGGGAGAGGTCGACCATGAACATCGCCGTGGAAGTCGCACCCGTCGTGGGAGTGGGATACAGTACGTTAGGGAAGTGAGCGCCAGTGCCAAAGAAAGGCCCGGTAGCACGATCCGGCACCGCGGCGGCAATCGTGGTGGCGGCGGCAGGCGTGGCTGGTACTGGCTCCATGTATAGACTTGGAGGCGTCGGCGTTGACGGCAGTGGTCCTAGTGCTGGTGCTGGTGCTGGTGTTGATGTTGGTGCTGGTTGTGGTGCTGGTGGTGGTTGTTGGCTGGTTGGCTGCAGCACGGTGGTCTCGGAGCAAGTCGCACAAGGGGAACGCTGCGGTTCAGCTGCGCGCGACATTGCGGCTGGAGCCGAGTGGCCCTCGGGTCCGGTTGGTGTTAGAGGTCCCGATATCTGGGATGATGACGTAGTCGAGGGTGAGGTTTCTTGAGGGAGCTCTAGGTGGAGCAAATTGCGCGCCGTGGTGGCGGGAGCTGGGCCCCCGCAAGCGCCTAGAGTGGTTCGGCCCGGGGAAAGGAGGCTGGAAGTGAAGTGCTGGTCCTTTAGGCTGTACTGTGGAGATGCTTGATATGAGCTGTTGTAGGCGTCGTCGTCGTCGTCATCGTCGATAAGCAGAGCAAAGGCGCGAAGGCCGCCGGCGTCCTTGGCGGCACTTCCCGACGGCAAGCTCACGTTCGTCTGGATCATGATTTGAAAACAGCTGCAGAATACTTATTTTTAAGATCCGGAACTTCAAATGCGCGGTGGACGAGTGTCGAAAGCCGGATGACGGTGGGACCTTACAGCGACCCGTGGGCCCGATGTATAAACGCCGATTAATAAGGCTGTCGTGCACCTAAGCGATAGAGCCAAAGCTTTACGCGCATGCAGCTTTGGGAATTTCTTGTGCTTGTTGTACAGTGATGCATGGGGCGGCCTTTATCTTGCTCGTTAGGCGCGATCCGGTACCGGGACTGTGCCACAAGGTCGTTAGGCCATAAACCTGCTTACGCTCATTTGCCGATAATGGTTTGGTAGGTTTCTAGTCGCAAATCAACCAACATGAGTTTAAGCCCGCAGCGTTCAAGGCCGGTCATGTGACGCAAGCGATGCTACGCTCCAACAGCGAACGTGAATATAACCTCTACTAGAATGGAGGCTGAAAGCAATAGGCCCACAAAAAAGCTCACAGGCGAAGATTCTCGAGGACAAGAGAAAGATTGCGCATGGTGCAAGATCATGGAGCAGAAGATATGCCGGAAGCAATATGATGTAGGGTATAGCAGCTTGGGATTGCTTCCTTTAGAATGCGTCAGGACGCGTTGCTGATGGGTCCCGCAGGCCTTTGATGCTTGCATGGAACGCGAGGGAGACGAGGGGAAACATACATGCATGGGCCTGGTAAGTGGCTGGATAAGAGACCATGTCGAAATTAGCTGGGTTGACACCAAGTTCTGCGCCCATGTCCTCCTCCACACACACACACACTTCCAACCCACCTTTGCACTCTGGAAGAACTGTGTGTTCCCTTGCTTTCCCCACCCTCCCACTATTGCAGTTTGAGGAGCTGCGCAAATGCATGAGCCAAAAGCCGTCTTTGTTGACCATGTTAAAAGGCATGGTATTAGGTCCGCCTGATGCGAACACGCGATGAGTCTAGTTCAGCAAGCCTAGGCGGCGGGATTGTACGTCGTAGTACAACGCTATGCTATTTGCGATGCGAAGACTGGATGTGCTAGGCGTGGATTGTTGATGACTGCGTTATGCACAACGGGAATGTTCAAACATATACCGATATCACGGTGGTGGCACTGCTGGCAAAAAGGTTGATCCCATAGATAAGACTGGTGTCCGCACTATACCATTGGTCACACCAAGGGTCAACGTGTTTACCAACCGATGCCGTCCATGCCAATATCGAATCCAAGCGATATGCGCCGTCCCAAGCTGTGGCTTATTTATGCCATGCTTCAAGACATTGGGATAGGGGTACCCGAAACACCTTTACAGCGATGCGCTGCTTCGCACGTGTCCTACGTATGCGCCCTTGCAGTCCCCGCGCACCAGAGCAGTTAGGCCGGGTTGTAGGCGGCTGCCTACGGATATGTTGTTGCAAGGAAAGTGACTATCCCGTTATCTTCCCGTGAAGATTAACCAACACAGGAATTCGAAGCATATTGAGGTTCCGTTCCCCCAGTCGCCTCAGTGAAGAGTGTGAACTTTACATTTCGTTAAATTGGTGAAATCCCATGTCGCTGCTGCCAGACGACGCCGTTTGTAGAGTGCACTCATCGGTACTAACTGTCCAGACCCATCAGCCTGGCAATGAACAATGGCATGCAGAGCATACTCTGCGAATCCTCCCAGGAATGTCCCGAGAAGATTGTAACTTCCCTCGTATGCAGCTATGCAAAGCACCGACCATAAAAATGCGATGCTGACTTTACCCGTCCCATGCCTCTGTACGACTATCCGGCCTCACACGCGCACCAAAAGTAGCTTCGGTAACGGGACTACGGCAATCGAAGCCACATCGACAGTAATAATAAGACTGGCTGACCTTCAGAGAGTTAACATTAAAAATGAAGGCAGCAGCCAGTACACAAACGCAAACAAGCATGCAAGCAAAACTTGGCTTCATATACACAGCCTTAAAAATCCTTTAGCACATACGCCCTTAGGACACCACATCAATAAAAACCGCATTGTGTCCGCAACACCTGCGTTGTAGCTATCAGCCATCGTCATCTGTATTCATTTTGTAGGCGGCCAGCTACAAAAACAACTCCTCATTACTAGATACAATCGGAAGCACATCAGGACTGCACGAAGTCAGGGAGATGAAACTCCGTTAGGATTCCTTCAGGCAAGCTATACTTCGTAGCTCGGTTTGCAAGCTCGAGTCCTCAAGTGAGCTGAAAATCGCGTGCCAACGGAAGCTAACAAATCATCTCGCCAGGGAGCAAATCCAAATCGAGTGTGGTTTCTTAGAGATGAGGGGCATGAAACAAAGAAACAAACAATAGCCGCTTGGTTGAGCGACGCATACGCATCACGGATGCAATAAAAAGCCTCGTGCAGCGGCGTAAGACGCCGGGCACGGGCGCGAATCACTGGGACGCGCAACAGATCCAGCAATAGCCAGGAGACAGCCCCAGCAGCCAGTTATTAAAGCTCCAGGACTTATCCAGACCAGTTACAAACACCTAGGTGCACTGCAACGACGTGTCGCATCACGCAACCAGAGCGAAGGAATAACAGAGGCGAATTCACACAGGATGGCACATGTGCCACCACCCAATCCATGGACCCCCTCCCCATTAAGAGGGGGAAAAATAACCAGGAACAAGGGACCACGCAGCTTAGCGTCCTCCTCTCCGCCCTATACTCCCCTAAATCTAAATAATGAACTCCACCTCCTCACAGCACAACCGATGTGCGTTTGTTCCACAAATGGACATCTTCGCAGTAGTAGCAGCAGTGCGGGGTTGTTTAGTGATGCAGGGGCGGGGCGTGTAGCGACGGATGTTCAACCCGCCGGTCTTACCATAAAATGACAACTACCGCACGCAAGAACCCAGACTGCTTGCAGACCTTGCAAACTTTCGACTTCATGTCCCGTAACCAGTGCTACTTGACAACTTCGCAAGAGACGAGACCTCACAGGCGGCTAGACGAGGCCGGGCTCCACATAGCCGAGGCCGCCATGTGGCGCCAGTCCAGCCCCTCGCCAGAGTCATGACCCTCCCAACCGGCAGGCACGGAGCCAAGCCCCGTGTTCACCAGGTAGCGCACCACAGCGGCCATAATGGCGGCCGAAATGTTGCGAATGTTGGAGAACTGGGGGAAGACACTGCGCAGAATAAAAGCGCAAACCAGGTGTGAAGTTCAGCGAACAATAAAAATAGTGAAAGACACAAGGCAGTCGACGAGAATCTATCCTGCCGGTAGCCAACGAAACACTGAAGCCAACTGCAGCGAACAACGACTCCGCGGACATGGTTTTTCTCTCCACTCACCTGCCCGTCTGTAGCTCCTTGAGAGTGGCCATGGCGGCGAGCTGCTCTGCGGCCACTAGAAACACCGCCTGGGGAATGGTTTTGGCCCTGGTGAGAACCGCAGCGTGCCCCACAGCCGGGAAGATGTAGGCGTTGTTGGCCTGGGGGGCGTTGTGAAGCTCGCCCTTGTACTCGATGGGGTCGAAGGGAGAGCCGCTGGCAAAGATCACGCGGCCGTCGGTCCACCTGCGCACGAGAAGGTGCATAATCCATGTAGTTTTAGTGTTTCGCGTACCCCATGGCCTCCGCTCGGTCCACAAAAGTCCTCCGTCCCTACCCAACCAGCCTTCAACAGCTCTTACTTGATGGCCTGCTCAAAGGTGCACTCGGACAGGCTGGTGGGGTTGGACAGCGGGAAGATGATGGGCCGCTCATTCATCTCTGCCATAGTTCGGATGACCTTGGGAAGGGTTGAGGGTGCAAGAACCAAGACATGCTGTCAGACGGGCGCACGAAGAACTGCATTCGGTAGGGACACTAAAATAATTACCCGCCTGCCAGCACCCGCTGCCACCACCCCTGCCACCGTATCGGAGAGACGCCGCAAGTGGCACACTCCGCTAACCCTTAGAAAGACGACGACGACCCAATGCTTCCCCCTAACCAACCCCCACCTCCTCGTTGAAGGTGTTGGGCACGGCGCTGACACCGATGATGGCGGTTGGCTTGAGCATGCGAACCGCCTCAATGAGGGTGGACACGAAAGGCGCGTCGTGCGCAAACGGCTCCTTGTGGTGCTGCAGATCAGTGCGGCTAGCCACAACAAGGCCCTTGCTGTCAATCAGGTAGCACCGCTGCCGGGAGGCCTGCAAGGTAGCAGGAAATTTAGTATAGATACAGTTCAGGGAGACTCGCATAAGATGAAAGAGAAGCATATATACCAGAATATGGTAGCAGAAGCAAAAGATTAAAAAGGATTTGGAAAGGGAAGCCGAAAGCACATAAACCAAAACAATGTTGCCAAGGTGGAAAACGTTGCTCGTTCAAACGCTTACCTCCTCCGACAGACCTTCGCGCCGGTGCATGCAGTAAGAAATCAGCGTGGCAATGCCGCAAGCCGCCTCACCTGCACCAAGAGCAATCGAAAAGAGCGTCATCATTAATACTTTAGCAGATGCCTTCTACACACATTGAACTGACGATGGTGATGGCAACAATTCCCCGAAACTCCATAGTGTATGGCACACAAGCAGCATTCGCAAGGTCCGGTAACTGTCGAACAACCCTGTGCTCAACCCCGTCCACTTATCAGAGTACTTCCCCGAACCGGCGGGCTGCTCACCGGCGCCAAGGAACAGAATGCGCTGCTCCGACAGGCGACCGCCGCGGATGCGCAGCGCCCCCAGCAGCGCCGCAAGCGTAATGCCGGCGGTACCCTAAAACACACACCAGCGATAGCAAGGGTACAGGATCAACAATAACCGCATTAGTACCGGCGCCAGAGACTCGAGAGTAAGTGGGCATCACCAAGACCGCAACAGCATAGCTCGAAAACAGTAACAGTTATAGAATTAAGGCTCACAGCAACAGTTGCAAGAAGGCTCGTAGCGGAGAAGGCCCTAATGCATACCTGAATGTCATCATTAAAGCAACAAAAGCCCTTCTGGTATTTCTCGAGAACCCTGCGGGTGGACATTGCGATGACGTGCGGATGCAAGACAGAAGCGCTGTGGAACAGGAATGCTTGCAAACGAGGAATAAAATTAATTCTTCACAAGCCATCATTTCCATAACTCCCTGCAACCCCCTCCTTTCCGTTGGACCTCCGCATCAATTAGGTGTGGTTATCCCCATCATGACCGGTTTGTTGCTACGCAACCTCGGCACACCTGAAAGCGTTATGGTTACCGAAGTCCTCGTACTGCAGCAAGACGTGCGGACGCCACTCCTGCAAACGGCAAGGCATCACCGTCCACATGGGCATCGCTACAGAGGTGCTACAGAGCAACCCAAATACCGAACAAAATGAAACAAACCCAGGATACCCGACGGCGCGGAATTTCCTCCTATCGCAGCGCAGCGCTTAACACGTAACATATTATAATCCCGTCGACCCATAGAGGCGTCCACATGCCAAACACGAATAAGGACCAGGCCACACGGCGCGCTTAACCCAGCGAGCCATACTTGATTGCACGATTATCACCTTAAGCGCCTGCATGAACTCGTCGACGAAGGCGTCGTACTCCTCATCGCTCGGCCGGGGACAACGGAGCCCACGATACTCGGGAGACTCGCGGAGCTTGACGTTGTTGGTGCCCACGTCCAGAGCAATTGGCAGACATTTAGATGGATCCACACCCGCAGCTGCGGTGTAGAGCTCGATCTTGCCCTCCGAAATGCCCATGCCGTTCTGCAGCGGAAGAACGTATATAATGCAACAGTGTCATAAGAGTGTGGAGTGCACGAACTCATGCGCAAGGGCACGGTGACACGCGTGGCGAGAGGGAACCTGTTGAGTTTAGCATGCTTGGGGCCACATGGTTTGCGCGCGGGTCACTAACCCTTGGCAAAAGAGCATAAAAACTGCGAGATCCCGGTGATAACAGCCTGGCTGTCTTACGGTGCTGTACCTACCAGAGGTACCCCTCCTTAAAACAACTTACAGCTCCCAAGTCGCCGAGGCCGAGAATACGCTCGCCATCAGTAACCACAATGACTTGAATGTCCTGCTGGGGCCACGCGCGCAGCTTGGACAGAATCGAACCCCTGCACACACAAGGCCGAGCGATGCTTCAATTAACAGGCCAAGTAAATTGCAATTTATATTGCATGTAATTACGACAACATGCCCTTATAACAACAGCGTTTCAAGCCACGGTCTTAGGCAAGCTTTACAACGATTTTTGAATACCCAAATCCCTCAAAACTAACCAGTGCACTTTGATATAGCATGTAGACACCATGCGCGCGGACAGACACTTTTGTTCACTCGACAGGTATATGGTGTGAACCCATTCGTAGACAAGACAGAATCCCCTTACGCATCTAAAACGCACCTGTCGGTGAGTGAGAGGTACAGACCACGAGTCTTAATTCCAAGGGAGTGGTATTCCTGGCAAGCCTGCCCCACAGTAGGGGTGTAGATAAACGGCAGAACTTGCTGCGCGTTGTTCAGCATGAGCTGGTAGTACTTGGTTGTGTCATGCTCCCGGAGATCTCGAAGGTACATGTACTTATCGATTGGACGCGGACCAGCTTCGGACAGAAAAGCCGACTTGGCGGCCTGGCGCTCTGCACGCGTCAGGTACATTATTCCGAAAGGGTTGCGTAATCGCGATAGAAACGAGAGGGTATATTTATCTATGCAAAATTGGGAAGGTATGTGAGAATTGAGACGTATAGCTTCAAAATTCTTCACAATTGCGAAATGTACGCGTGTCGTCGTCCAGGTGGCTAACGCCCCGGAAGGCCGCACCTTCAACGTCCATATCCTCCGGCTCTTTCACAGGCGCCGGAGGTGGCATTTTAGTAGAAACGGCGCAGTCAGCATTGCTGCCAGATATCTCAAGAGGCGCCAGTTTTACAACCGAGGATTGAGAGGACCCAGTAAGGGGTTATGCAGAGAAACTTTGCAACTTTCGGAAACAAGAAGCAAGCTACGAACCTGTGTTAGAGATAGTTATTGACAAGTTGTTTTGTCAAAGAAATTTCGCTGATGCGTTATATATGCACGACGGGGCTGTTGTACCGCAGGCAACTGGTACAGTATTTCCTGACAGACGGTTGAAGCCTTGCTTCAGGTGCAGCTAAAACTTGGGACATGTACACATCGCTAACTTGTGCACGGAAGAACCCCCTTCAACCCCCTTCATGCATTGGGCCACGTCTGACGCTTCCCTTCCGGGACCGTTTAGTTAGTGTAGTTGCGCAATTGGAAATCTAGTCAAAAACCCCATTCATAAAGTCGACGACAAACATGTTATGTACGTGAAGGCTCTGAGGCTGTGACGTCTGTCGCATGGAATTGCCGACCATGAAAGCTTTCAGGTAGTAGTGTGCATGTCGCTCCCAGGCTAAACTGGCATATGTGGGCTGATCTTGATCATTTGGTATATGAATCATGGACATGTTTCGGACTAGAAACTGCATGCCAGGGCTCACCCGCTTGTTAACGTTAGGTCCTTAGTTTAAGCGTTCACGGGAGACCAGTACGAGTTGCCATCAAAACGTTGCACAGTTGCATTTCTTAAATGCAATGCCTGGTTGCTGGAGGCAACGTACATGACTTTGTATGCGGTGACGGGTGGTCCCCGGGTCGGCGGCTTACTTGCAAAGTCATCCGGGACGAATCCAGAGCTGGCCATTTTTTCCCGATAAACGATATGTGTATATAGAGACATATTTAGGTTATGGCCTGTGCCGCGAGCAAAGACCTCCCATTCTAGGAAAGACCCCTGAGGCAATCTGCATGCCCTATAACTATTGCTGCATCTAAGATTAACAACACTTGGCACTACATAAGATTTCTAATTAAGGGCATGGCAATTCACGCATTATTCCCTTCTATGCTGGTCATGCCGAGTTGAAGCTCACACTGTTCCTTTTCTCACGCGACCTGCCGCCAAAGCATAGCAAGTAGTTATGCTTACAATCGGCAGCAGTGTTGCCGCGCCCAGGAGGGCTGTGGCTGGAGTCCAGCAGGCGGCGCTGCCCCGTCCAAACTATGTCTCGTGCAAGAGGCCCTGTCAGCAGCCGATATGGGGCTCGTTCGTGACACCTCCAGTTCAAAGGTCGCTGTGCCAGGCGGCTTCTGCTGCATCTGCGGCCGTGCCTTGCCTTCCGACGGCCGAACAGAAGCCATTGACAAACCGCCAAGCAGGGATATTCGAGGCCTTGCGGAAATGCAGAGCCATCTTTAGCTGCTTAGCATTCTGGGCTGTCTATGCCTACCTTTCCTGGGGTTCGCCAGCTGGGCCACCTTTCGCGTCAGCCACGCTCGCGCTCGGCGAGGCGCCCACGACAGGTATGACCTCGCGCGGTGGGCTCCTTCTCCCCACGCATAACTCCTTCCCGTTTACACTCTACTAACCCAAGTGCTCCTTCCGTGAAGATTCTTTTTCCTGAGATAAGATCTGCCTCGCCCTCCGCAGGCCTGACGACCACCGCGAAAAGTGCCTGGGCAGGGCTGGCGGCTGGGTTCCTTCACACCCTGTGTGGCCCGGATCATCTTGCGGTGAGAGCGAATTGACGTGGCCCTCCTCGCCACGCACCCCGTAATCAGGTTAAGGGGTCAACACATGGGGGAGTACCCGGTAGCCCATGGCCGCGGCGAGGGAAATTGGTGGTTTAATGAAAAGGACAGGAGGATCTGTTCACGTCCTAGTCCAGGAGGGGTGCAGGTGTTCTGTGTCCCCGAGGGCAGGGCGCATGGCGTGGCCGCTACGCCATTGCCAGCGCTCTCATAGACCATGTGATGCTGCATGAGTGGGGGAGTGGTTCCGGAGCTAGAGTCCCAATGGCGAGCTCTGAGGAATTTCACCTCAGGCTGTCCCATTACTCCACCAGAACACTTTTCCAAACCCCTCTACCTGCCCGCCACTCCCTTCCCTCTTAACATCAGTCTTCCCCGCAAAGCGGCCCTACCCCTAAAACCCCCAAACGACCATACTAACCTCCGTGCCGTCGCCTATGCTGCTTTCCTAACCTCACATCGTACCCCGACTTGACCCAAATGACGACCCAAATCACCGTCATCATCTTATCATTGCTGCGAACGCTAAGTGAACACTTCCACCGATCGGCGCTCCTCATAATCCTTCTCTCCCCGCACCCATACCCACGCTCCCAGGCGCTGACGCCGCTGACGATTGGTCGTAACCGCTTCGCCGCGTCGGCGTTGGGGGCGCTGTGGGGCTTCGGCCACTCGACGGGTCAGCTCATCCTAGGCCTTGTGTTCGTGGTGCTCAAGGCGAGTAAAATGGGGGGAGCTAAGGGACAGGAGTAGGACCACTATGGCTCGGACGGCGGGCCGAAGGATGATTCGGGCAGACAAATGCGCAGAGTCGATCGTCTCGGAAGTCAAAATTACTATCTGCCGGGGTCCAAAGCAAGCACGCAAGGGGCGGAAAGGAAAGGCGGGGTTGGAGGAATGAGAGGACCCACAGCGGAAGGATGTGGTTCGGGGGTTTTGTCGCCGTGTAAGCTGACTGGCCTGGGGCGGGAGCGCCCATCGTGGCATCTATTATGTGGGGAAGGGGGTTCGTCTAAACCAAGGGTGAGGGAAGGGCGTCTGGCAGTTGGTGGGTTGGGCTGTGGCTGGATTTGGAGGTGGTGGTGCTGCAGGTGGGGGCGATGGTCTTCCTGTTGTCCGTGGACTGTCAAGCAGGCGGCGCCACTGCCTTGGTAGCAGATAGATGCCTCTGGTTGTCTCTTTTGGAAAAATCCATGGCCGAGAAAAAGCAGGCGCCCAGATGCACGACGGGGTGCTGGCACCGGTGCAGGGGCCAGATGCCCCGAGCTCTGCGTGACCCAAATGGTGGTTTGTCGCCGTGAACGTGGACTATGTGCTGCTAGTATGGAGGCTTGCCCTGGGGTTTAAGGTGGCTTGGGCACAACAGCGGGGACAGTATAGTAACCGGAGTCGCAGGTTTTATTATTGGAGCAGCTCTTTTTTGCGCACGTCTGGTACAATCCGGTTTTTATAGGTATCCGTCCTAACGCGCACGGAGAGTCGCCCGCTCCATTCACATAACAATCCATAACAAAGTAGGTTGCGGCTCGCGGGTCCGTACTCAGTGCGCCCGACCCAGGATAGTCGGTTGGTTGGGTTGGCTTGGCTTCATCCCATTTCCACTCCCGCTGGTGTCCCGCAGGACCGCTTCCATGACCTGGTGCCCTTCCTGTCCAAGTGGGCGGGTACGGTGGTGCCGCTGACACTAATCGCAATCGGCGTCATGGGCATCTACGAGAGCTTCTTTGAGAAGGACGATGCGCATGCGGAGGCCGAGGTGGAGGCTGTGGGACTTGCACTTGCGAGTGGGTTACGGAAAGGGGGGGGGGAGGGGTACATGTGAAGCATAAAAGGGGACGGTGATGGGGATATGATGCGGGCGTGTTCCTCGCGCAAAGCGACTCGGTAATGCGTGTGCTTGACAGGAAAAGCAGGGCGTCGGGACTGGGGGAGTGTGACTCAGGTTACGCAACTGTATATACATCTCATGTATGTATGTATGTATGTGCTCTTGCAGTGTGCCTCAGGCTCGTTGGCCTGCCCTGGCCTCACCCACCGTGCACCCGTTCATTTCCCCACCCCCTCCCCTCCAACCAGGCGGCGGCTCTGTTTCAGCGGGCAAGTCCCCCTCGAGCGTCTCGAGCGGTCTAAAGTCCGGTTTCGCCACGTATGCCACCGGCATCGTGTACGGGCTGCAACCCGATGCGCTGTTCGTGGTGATTCCCGCTCTGGCGCTGCCCACCAAGCTGGCGGCCATCGCTTACTGCTCCATGTTTGTCATCGGGACGGTGTCGGCCATGGGAGGCTACACGCTGCTGATCGGTACGCTTTGACAAACATAGCTGTGGCTGAGTTGGGGTGCGTAAAGCAACAACTCCTCTTTCCTTTCCCTACTCCGTGTTTTGGCAAACAACTGTCAATCTCACCCATAGCCCGATGCCTTCTCTTCAGCGACCCTTCCACCACACTGCCATTCCCGTGTCCAGTCTTGGTCTCCCAACTCGAACTGGACAAGCTACATTCGCCGTTCCTTTCCTTTTCTTTTGTGGCCCGCTGCAGGCACCACCTCCCAGGCGCTCATCAAGGAGCAGCCCTGGCTGCAGAAGCACCTGTCCACTATGGCCTCTGGAATCGCCATTGCCGTGGGCCTGCTGATGCTGCTGGCGGGCATGGGTTTGGAGGTCCCCTTCTTCTCTTAAGCCCCGAGGGTGTGTGAGTGCTACCGGGGTCACCTGAGGGTGACACGGCATAGCGGAGGCCGGTGGGTGGGTGGGTGCATGTGTTTCGCGTCTCTCTGGGTGTAGGTTGTCGGGGGCTGGGGGCGCTGTGCGGTCCCTGCGGCGGCTGTGAGGCCTGTGCTGCACCCGCGTGGCAGCAACCTGTCTGTCAGTAGCGGAGGACAGCTGTTTCTCCTGGCTGGGGGCGGCCCGCGCAGGGGAGGCATCTATGGGCAAAGACCGCCGCCCCTCAGTCGTGAAGGATCAGTGCGAGTGCCGGGGCTGACGTTGCTCTTAGTAGTGGTGGTGGTGGGTAGTAGAGCAGCAGGGCCGGGGGAGAAGGTGCGAGGCAGTTGGATCCCTGTTAGGACGGTGCATGAGGGCGGACGGCAGCAGCTCAGGTCGTGGCGTGATCAAACGTAGAAGGCGGAGAGATGGTTGGTGATGGTAGCAGCAGCATTGCTGGCGGCAAGTCATTCGGCGGCGGCATGGGAGAGGACATGGGCAGGGGTAGTGAGAAATCATGCTCTGCCTGCGGCAAGAGCAGCTGGCCATCACATCAGTTGGCTTCACGCGGGCAGGTTTACTGGCTTTGGTTTCACTTGCCCTGTGTGTGGGAAAGGGACCGAAATGGGGGCGATGGGAGAAGGTGCAGCTACAGTGGGGACGGAGTTGTTTGTCTCTCCGTCAGGCTTTGTAAATGGTCACCCATCACCCACAGCCGGGCGTATGGATGCGGATCCGGAACAGCGCAACGGCCTAAGGCTGGTCATTGAGCAGGAAGTCGTTAAGCGGAATACGGACAGCTTCCCGGCTTTCGCACGACGGCAGCGCGGGAGGCACGACAAAGGACGTTTAGTGTTGGGGCGAGGTTACGGCACGTTGGGATTTTGAGTATTCGGAGGCTTAGAGTTCTGCAGGTATAGCTGCGCGGCTTAGGGTAAGCATCAGGGCAGGGCGACGAGGTCGAGATTCATAAGGTTTTGGGTTCCGAGCACGGGTTGGATCGCTTACGGACTCATGGGACAGTTTTGCCAAATAGTTTGGGGAAGTGCGCGTTCGGTCGATAGTCCTAGGTTGGTGGCGTGTTAAGGTGCGGGGACTAAGCTGCCGCTGGTCATCATCTGTTTGGCATTACAACCCGGGGCCAGGGAAGAGGGCATAAAGGAGGCAGTGTGCATGACGGAGCTTGGCGCGCGGTGGCGAGACAGCGTGCGGTGGGCCGCGTGGCACCGAACGCCTTTTTACTGTCGTGCCGGGGAGCGTCATTGCGTTGCGTACATGGTCCGGCCGCGTTGCATAGCCCGAGACACAAACTGGGTTAGGGTCCGTTACATATAATCAGGGATGGACTGTCCTGTGTCCGTCAGGGCACACAGGAAACATGCTGGACAGGTGGAGGCTACCGCTATCACCTCGCGCGAAAATTGAGCAACTGTCTTCCTGTTTTTGCTCTTTTTTCCCCCTAGAAATCCCGGAGCAATACAAGCACAATGTTCTACAAACGACCCAGCGCAAAGATGGCCCACCGTCATGCACGTGAATCCTTTGCTCCCGCCCTCCAGCCGGTGTTGGGGCAGGCAGGTGAATCGTTGTTGGTCACAGGCTGATATTTTTAGGTGTTGTTCACGTCCGTTTCTTTCCTACCAATGGCAGTGGCTTCTTTTGGTGGTTCCTGGTAACTCTTCTGGCACGGCTCAGCTGGCGTAGGATGTACCTGTACGACAATGCAACCAACTGGGCAGTTGCTTCCCGTTGTCACATTCCTCCGCCCCTGTTGATGCTTTAACGGGAATGTATCAACCGATACCTGAACGTGCGAAATCGCCTTCCTACCCTGCCAGCATCAAATACCCACATACGGCTCAGCCTCATACACTCGCCAAAGGAAAACCTCTTATTTAATGATGTCAATAAATCATTCTTTGCCACTTGAGGACACGTGAACCATACAGGCAGTATAGCACCAGCATTGGATCATGTCCTGAAGACACAGAACAAAGAAAGGGATAATCGCACAGGAGTAAATATGTCACAGCTCACCCGCACATCCAACCGCGATAAGGTCACAAGTAATCTTACTACTTGCTAAGCTCAGCGCAAAGGAAGGATACGATGATCGCAGAACTACAAAATCAACCTATTGAAAGACACGAGCAATGCGGGTCAATGGCACTTCAACGGTGCGAGTTCATAACCCTAAGGGTTTAGGGTTACACACCCTAAACCTAAAAGGTTTGTAACCCTAAACGTAAAAGGTTTGTAACCCTAAACCTAAAAGGTTTGTAACCCTAAACCTAAAAGGTTTGTAACCCTAAACCTAAACGGTTTGTAACCCTAAACCACAAAACCCACCTCGAAACCGAGGCTATCAACAGCACAGTTAGCATGGTCGGCTCCTGCTACAACCAAAGGCCCTCTGACCAGGTGGCCGCACGCACGGAGGCACATACATACATACCCCCACTTCACCACTCAAACACGCACCCTCTGGCGTATGAACACACGCACGTCACCAACCTCGGCCAAATTGCGCCCACGCTGCCCAATCCCGCATAAGGAAGCCCAAAACGTACGGCCTCATGGCGGGAGGGGAGAAGAGCGAAAAGCCCCTCACGAAGCTGCAACACGTAATCCCTTCCCCCTTCCACCTGACAGTTATCACCCCCTCGACCCCTCGCCCACATCATCTCCACAATCCACAGTCAAAAGCAGGGGCTGCCGCAAGTCCTCCGTGCCCCTTGGTGCTGCTGATGCGCACCCTCGACACTCCGTGTCGGAAGCGACTACCTGGGGCTGCTCGCCTGCATCACCGAGATGCAACGCCGCCTCAACATCACTAACCAATGCAGCAACCGAACCGCCCTCTTCCCCGCCCTCACACGCCATGACACCGCTGCTCGCCACCGGCACAGCGGCCGCTGCCTTCCGAGCCGCCGCCGCCGCCTTCATCGCCAACTTCCGCTGCTTCGTCCTCTCCTTCCGCACCCTTCCCACCAGCCACACCACGAAACCTCCCGCGCATACCGCGCCCAGGCCCACCATACCGTACGGCAAGTACTGCCGCATGACCGGGTTGCCGTACTGATTGACGAGCCAGTACATCAACCACTCCAGACAGGCCACCCATAGGGCCGCTATACACACCGCCATGGGCCAGTTACGACTCAACCGTATGGGCTCCTGAGACGCCCTTCTTCGGGCCGCCTCCATGACGCCAGGCGGCAGCAGGGCAATGGCCGCCGCGATCAGCAGCGGCAGCAGGATCAGATCGTCTAGGATGCCCAATACAGGGATGAAGTCGGGGATGAGGTCCAGCGGACTCAGGGCGTAGGCCAGCACCAGGCACGTCAGAGCCTTGGCCAGGAAGGGCGTCTGCGGGTCTAGCATGGCGTAGTACACCGCAAGCACCTGCGGATCCGCAGTCGAGGTTGCGGGTTGTCCAGGTGGTATTTCCGAGGGTTTGTAATGCTCGGGGAGTCGCTGGGCGTGGAAGGATATGCCCCTGAAATTAGGCCTGCGGCTCGATTCGGCGACACTAGCAGGCGTGACGACATGTACCGGGGTTTCTTCCGCTGCAGTGCAACGTAGCTTCTCCCCCCCCCTTGGGACTACTCCTGCACCGCACCTGTAACTTTCCCTTCTACGCAGGCTCACCAACGACTCCTTCAAGGCCATTACCTCCTTCCAGGGGCTCTCTTACCTCGTGCTTAAGAGCCTTTGCGGCCTTTTTGAGGCGCTGGTACCAGGAAAGTCGGTGCGGAGAAGCTGGAACGAGGTGGGGGGAAGCGTTGTCATCAGCAGATGGTTCAGTGGGTGCCAGACGGTCGTAAGACCCGGTGACAGGACTGCAACTAAGAGAGGCAGCAGAAGGACAGCCACTGCCAGGTGTTGGTTCATGGCCGCTGAGTTGCGCATATGGGTCCACTCCTGCGTGTGCGAGTTCGGGAATGGAACTTCAACAACGGTCCATGCAAAATTGTGAGGTTAGCTTAAGCGTGTGGCTAATGATGCGTACATGATGGGCCATAGAAACAGGCGCATCGCCTGCGAGGAGTGACTAAGTATAGAAACTCCTCCATCGGCCTCGACCGTCGCCTTCAGTCCGCGAGGCCAGTAAATTACGATGAGATGATTTGAACGACGCTTTAAGGATTCTAATTTTGTTTTGGCGCTACGAATGACTATTTTAGGTGGGGACCGAGTAGCCCCCTGTCCTTACCCACCAGTCCAAGCCCCGCCTGCATTGTTGGGTGGTGTGCACTGTGGCGTCATCACGTAGATTTCCGGAGTATTATTAAAGGTCGCACAACGCTTTACGCTCCCTGGAACAGGGACGCCTGATGATCAGGAAGACTGCTTGCAAATTGACCCATCCACCATTCAGCGAAGCAGGAGGACGAATAAGCGATGGTCAAAGTCAAGCCTGCTGGGCCATAAGCAGGCATTACATGCCGGAACGGCTTTTCTGCACGTGGTTACAACGAACAGTCAGGGCTGCCTTAAAACAGCATGCCGCGTGCGTTAAACATTTGGATGATGCATGAAATGAAGACCGTAAGCCCTGTGACATTCATCGCAGTTAATGCGTGCTGCACGAGGGACTGCCGACATGTACAAAGCGGTACAGAGAAGCTGAAGGGTCGCCGACGCCGCTACTTTGGAAAGCTACCAGTACGCTGCAACGAACGGATGTCGTATTGCATGTGGCACAATGATTTTTCATTTTCGTCTTCACATATTACGTAAGGGCATTAAGAGTATATGTACCTCTTCGCCGATTCGTTGCGCAGCTAATGTAGTCGTGCAGAGCGCAGCACGGATAATTTGAGCTGCAAACTACAACGTTCATATCATTAATGCCATCTTGGGAAATTATGGCAGCTAAAGCAATGCTTTGCATCGGAACCTGTCTGACGGCGTGTGGATAAGTCGATCCTCCTCAATCCCTTAAGAGTACATACATCTGAAGGCAGTCCTAGCTCAAGCTCAACAATCGCCACCTCGCTTGAAGCTCCATCCAGCTAGGCCTAGTGCTGGGTCTCAGACTGTCACAGGCGCACTTCTGCCCAACAAGCCTGATGACCCTTCGTAATTGCTGCACTACCTTCCCCACATCCTGCATGCCAAAATTCCGCAGGCTTAGAATTACTGGCTCACTTTTTCGCCGTTCGCTTTTTCCGCTACGGTAAACTGCTACGATAAATCGTACATTTGCTCCATTGTACCCTTCCGGGGTGTGTGTGTGTGTGTGTGTGTGTGTGTGTGTGTGTGTGTGTGTGTGTGTGTACGTCTCAAGTATCTCACCGGCCCTGACACTGGCCAGGGACTGCTGCCCAGCCCTAACGGAAAGACCGCCTACGCTCTCTCCCGCAGGCGGGAGAGGGGCGTGCCCCCTCCTAAGCAGCCGAGAGCCGCAGGTCTCTGTGTGTGTGCCGCCGCTCTCACACAAGCCCCTATGTGATGGTGTTCAGTGCGAGGGGAGTTCGCTGCGGAGGTTTCCATTCGACGTGCATCCATGTTGTACAGTGATTCGCCCACCATAAGAGCGCATCATTATGGCCATCAGGACTGGCACTCGCTCTTCCCAGGCCACGGTCCTGACACACTTCACTGTGTCTTAGTCCTGACACACTTCACCACAGAGAAGTCAGCTTTTGTCCCTCAAAACCAAAACCAATCCTTTTGCCACATGATTTTGCGGGCGCCTCGTCAGGGCAAATGGGTACTGTTTACCATGTGCCATGAACGACAAGCTAACCCTAGAGAATATGCCGTTACCTCTTTCCGTGTCCACTCCTACAGCGTTACCATTTTCTGCCGCCCCAGCAAATCAGATCCACGCGCCACTTCTTCTTATCCGTGGGTTTTCTTATCCGTCCCCCTCGCCGACCCAGAAATGCAACAGCCTGATCCAGGCATGACCTTACCAAAGCCACCTACGCAATAACGGCACGTGACGCCTGTACCTATTTGGTACAACGTGTACGCCTCCGTGTAGCAAGCGTCGTCACACACTCATTCCTCCTTCACGCCGCCTCTACTTCCGCCAGCTTGCGCACATTAAACTTGGCCAGCTCCCGGTACCCCGGCACCACCGCCATGGCGCAGCCGTTGCGGATCAGCTGCACCAGCACCACCTTGGCAGGGTTCTTCAGGTTCACCTGGGCAAGGGCGGCAGGGAGGCCACGTGTCCTTAGCCACCTTTTTGTCAACCAGCCATCCCAACACCGCCAGCACGTCCACATGCACGCTTTCGACCGCCAGCCATATCCTTGGCTCCCCTCCCTTCCCCCTTCATAAACCTGGCAACCTCTCAACCCCGTCCTCCCCCTCCGCTGGTCCTTCAATCAACATCCGAGGGCGACCACCCGCAGCCCCTCGCTCACCTTGTGGGGGGGAGTCTTGATGGCGGCGGTGAAGGCGTTGATGACCTCCATCCGGTCGAAGCCCTCCGAGGAGCGGTGCTCGTACTCCACAGAGAACTCCACGGGGGGGACGTCCTCACCTACAATAACAACAACAATAGCAACAGCAGCAGCACAGACAATAACAACAGCAGCATGTTGAGCGGGTGGGGTGATTAAGGTCAGGATGCTCCAGCCCCAGCTCAGCCGCACAACAGCCCCAGCCTACCCTCGGGGAAGTGCGGCGCCAGGAGCTTGGGTGCTGCCGCACGAATCTCATCAAGGCCGGCGAAACAGGCGTGGGTGACCGGCATGAAGCGGACGATGAATCGTCCGCGAACCTAATGGGGTGTGAGGTGGGGTGCGGTTGATTGGGGCTGGGTTAAAGCGGGGTCGGGGTGGAGTGGGATTCGGTTCGCCATCTGGGGCCAGAGCGCCGAGCATGAGGACCGGGCTCCTGGGCTTTAGAAGCTCCGAGACCTCATTGGCAAGGACTTCTCCCATATCAACTGGGAGTCAACCCAAAAAGGAAATACGTGCAAGACCGCACCATGAACTCCCCCACCCATGCGCCCAAATCACCACTTGACACCCTCTGCTGCCCCGCCCCACCTGCTTGCGCTCCTTTGCCTCCCGCGCAATGGACTCGGCCACCTCAACAGGACCCGGGGCGCCTGTCAAACGTGGTTTCGGAGACCAAGGCCAGCGAATACACCAAAACGCACTTCAGCGCTTACGCCGCAGCTCAATTTCCAAGCGGGTGCATCGGAGTCAGGAGCCAGCTAAACCTTGACTGTTACGGCGGTGTCATCGCCACAGGAAGACAGGAAGATGCTCGGCCAGACCTCCCTAGGCACTGAGGTTGTGTCACAACCTCCCGCCCGATATTGAACAGCACAATCATATAGTTCTAAAGTAAAGCTACATAATAGCGATAGACTTCCTCGTCCTTCCTCCTCCGCCTCCTCCGAATCCCCAGCTGTTTCTTGGGCTTTTGGTTCAGTGGCTTTCATACCTATAAATGCCCCCTCCCCTACTGGTCAGTTCTGCTTCTTGTACACTCATTCGTTCGTGGTTCGTCTTTCCCCCCTGCCCTCCTTCAGGATTGCTCACCTGGCGGCGGATTGGAGGGAAACACCACAAAGATGCAGCCCTTCACCCCGGTGTGGTGCACCCGGAATCTGGCAGCCTTTTTGTCCTTCAGCTGCGCGACCTCCTCTGCCAGCAGTGCGGCCACATCCTTGCCACCGCCACCGCCCCCGCCCTCCTTGTCCTTGGCGCCGTCCTTGTCCTCCGTAGCCTCTGCTCCGTCCCCCTTGCCGGCGTCCTCCTTGTCACCGGCTACAGCCGCGGCGGCGTCTCCTTTCGCCTCCGCTGTTGCCTTGGGGTCTGTCAGCTTGTCGTAGTGCTGGAGGTGTACGGCAAGGCGGAGGAGGAAGCGGGCAGCATGGCACGTCAGTAAGGGGTGTGGAGCTGCGGACAGATTTCAGGGCTATGTGGGGCTTAGGGGGTCTCGAGGTGTTTTGACATCACCTTTCTCTTGATCGGATGCTGCGTCTGCCGGGATTTATCAAGTTCCTAATGCAGAGTTGCTTGCTGCCTTCCGGTGCTGCTAGCTCCGCTAAGCTGTGGTCAAGGAAGGCCCTTGCTTGTGTGCGACGCCGGCCCTTAACAGCGGCAAGGGCAGAGTCCACGTATGAGGTTACCTCTTCAATCAGAGCGGCGGCCTCGTCGCCCGCTCGGTCCTCTCGCCCCGCATCGCAGGTCACCAGGATGCCCTGGCTGCTCAGCGGCACCGCCTGCCCCGTGCCGCTCTTAGATTGCTGTGAAACGGGGGTGATTAAGGGCAGCGCGTCTCGTCAGGCTTGCCTGGACGTGTCCCGTTCATCCGAATCGTCCTACTTTTTTGAAGATAATTTATTTTATTGAAGTTCAACTTGGAATATAGGATAGAAATGCAGCGGAAGGCGTTGCAAGCGAAGAGGCCTCCCAGCTGTCGGAGAGACTTGGGCTCACCTGGAAGTACCTGGCTTTTTTGTTTCCCTTATCGCCAACCTCGCCGCCCCCTCCACGACCGCCACCTCCACGGCCTCCCCCTCCACCTCTGCCTCCATGCTTGCGTTTCTTTTGCTCCTGCTCGGACATCGCTGACGGCGCACGGAGGGGGGAAAACTGGTAGCCCAACCTAACCTTTCGTTGTGCGGTGGTCTAGGAAAATACCGTATTGAAAAGGTGCTCGGGGTTCTAGAGCGTTAGACGGAAGTGAGAAACTAGAGCGGCGTCTACAGATCCTGAACAATTACCGGTAAAATAGTTTATCCAGCTTAGTCTATATTCAATGCAATTAGGTGGTGCCTGTATTCGTTGCCTTACCGGCGGTAGTGCGGGGTTGCGCCGTCGTACGGCGTGGAATTTCGAGAAATGTTTTACAAGCCCCCTAACTTTGTCTTTACACGTGGTTTGCTTATGCGATCATTTACGTAGCCGTAGCGTTATTTACAATATAATTTCTTTTTTAGACATCGTGAGAGGCGACGTGCACGGTGTGCCGCCGGTAGACGGCATCACGTCTCGGGCATCTATGCTCTATCTCATGCTCTATTTCTGACTATAATATTGCAACATAAATTACTGTATTGAGAACTTTGAGGTTCAGTAGCGGGCCTTTGAATCGATTCCAAGATGGGCAAGGCGGAACGCAAGGAGGCTAAGATTGAGAGAGAGGAGAGCAAGAAGGTCGCAGCAAAGGCCAAGGCACAGAAGGACGCAGAGGTATGCTGCCTGTTGGTTGGTAGTTTTCAGCGCAACGTCAGGTGCGCCGTCGCTTCCCAGTTGGGCCTCCGCACTCCGCGCAGTGGGACGCCAATTCCGCTATCAGCCTCTCTTCGGAGGCAGAAGCTGTCCTTCCCCGTTGTGGCATGCACGCACAGCGTGCACACTACAGGAGAGTCCTGGGAAACCGCTGGGTTTTTTACCCACGTTGCCACACTGCCCAAGGCGCACATGCGTTTCAGCCGGCCCACACAGCCTTCCGGCTCAGCTTCCGTCCATTTCCAAGCTTACCTCTGTTTTCTACCATTAACATCACCGTCAGCACACCAGGGTGATTCCTTACCGTTCCTGGTCCCTCCTTTCAGGACGCCTACTGGGCGGCCCATGGGGAGAACGACAAGTCCAAAGCGGCCAAGAAGCGCGAGGAGGAGGAGAAGAAGCGTGCTGAGCAGGTCGCCAAGAAGGCGGAGGCCAAGCGGTTAGCGGATGCGGAGCTTGAGGAATTGAGCAAAGCCAAAGCAAAGGCAGAGAAGGCTGGATCGCAAAAGGTGCGTGTGTCATTCCCAACGGCAAAGCAGGAAAGCTCGGGAGCAGGGCTCGAGTAAAGTGAGGCTTCTGAGGGATATGTGCGTATGCGCTGAGTCACCTGGCACACGCATGTATGTACTATTTGCGTACGTATGTACGTATGCACTACTTAGCAGGCGGGGTTTGTAAGCAACTTGAAATTACCTTGATTCCTTCTGCCGCTGCTGAACTGGCTCTAAGAAGTATCGGTTGCTTGGTAACGGCTAACCGCTAACTCCCTCCCCGCCTGCCTTGCATGTTGGGCCACTACCACGCCAGGTGACCCACTTTCAGCTGCACCAGCAGCGCGAGTTTGAGGACCGTCTAAAGGAGGAGATGCAGGCGGAGCGGGATCTGGCGGCGAGGAGGGAGATGAGTGCGGAGCAATATGCTCGCCAGGTAAGGAGACGAGGGAAAGGAAATTTGAAGCTTATGCGGCGGAGCTTTTGCAGACGCCATTTGGGAAGTGAATTGGGTTCTCAAAGGGCAGCCGCGGGCGCGGGCGGCACCTTGTGATAATGATTTCCGTGACCTGTTTGTTTGTTGCTGTGGAGTCTACATTAGTGCGTGCGCGCGGTCGCTTTCTCCAGAGTAAAGCCAGTTGCTGCGGCGGCGATGGCGGTACACACCTGCTTCCAGTTTACAGCTCTTGGTGTTTGGTCTGTCCTCCCTATTTCAGGTTGAGACGGAGAACCTTAACCGGGGTGTGGAGGCGGTGGACGCACGCGGCGTAGATGCCGCGCTCAAGGTGCTCACAGTCAAGGAGGAGGAGGCGGACAAGCATCCAGAAAAGTGAGCCAATAGGAGCCCAAATGGGCAGAGCCGGGTCTGGGGTGGGGGTGTGCGCTGGTTGGGGTGGAGGTTTGGAAGGTTTGGCATTGGAGGCTTTGACGGGTGAGGAGCCCGGCCATGGGCGACATGAGGGAGATGACACTGCGGAGTTGGGGAAAACGGGAGTGCTTTGCTTAGAAGGTAGGAATTGGTAGGAAGGCCCGGAATGGGAAGGGCGGGGGGGGGCGGGAAGAGGCGGGGGGGGTACCCGGACGTCGTTATTTTCTGTTTGTGTCAGGCACAGAGACGAGCGAGCGGATGGAGAAGGATGAGTTCATGATGGCAAACCGCGGTACAGGATCCTGTAGCTCTACAGGATGGCAAACCCGTGATACACGTCGTGACACATAGCTATTACACAACGTATGGGACCAAGCTTGGAACGGAAGCAGACTTCCCTTGGACAGAACAGTGAGGAGGAAATACATAATATGTGGAGATCTTGGAGTCCGTGAACTGTTGCTTCCAGCGACCTTGTTGGGAGCAGCAGCAGTGGCAGCTTCCCGTGATAGAGCAATAGGCTTCTGGTCGGGGCACACACGGGTGAGGGCGCACTGGCCCAGGTATCCTCACTCCGGTCCTCGCACCGTGTTCCTTGCGCGTCCTGCATTTTATGGTGTCTGAAGGCGCATGAAGGCGGCCTGGAAGGCGTACGAGGAGCGTAATCTGCCAATCCTTAAGCAGGATAAGCCCGGGCTCAAGATGTCGCAGGTAGGGGAAAGGGGGCCCTTTGGGGGGCCTGGGGCAGGGAGGATTATGGGGCACTCGCAGGCAAGCGCCGGTGGCCAAGCGTGGCAGTCTGGCCTCGGGCGTCTGTGCATCGTGGAGGCCCCTCGCAGCAACTGTTGATATCGCGTTCTCGAAGTTGTTATGTCGTGACTTCCATCTCTGTCCCCATACCTGATGGGGTTGGGGCTAAAGAACAGGCTTGCCATGTTTGGCAATGCAACACCTACCTTGCCGCACTACAAGGCAATTGCCTGTGTGGATGATGAACTGTTGGCATTGGGGGAGGAAGCGGCCGAGCAGGGCAGCTCTGGGCAGTTGTGTTGTGTAGCGGTCCGACTCCTCCTTCGCGTGTTACCATCATGAGACCCTGACCGCCCTACCTCCCACCGACCCCGTTGCCATGTGTTTGTCCACGCAGTACAAGGACATGCTTTGGAAGTCCTGGCAGAAGGCCCCGGAGAACCCTCTTAATCAGGTGCAGTTGGCGTCTCCACAGACGCCCAAGTGACAGAGCAGAGGGCCCGCGGAACCGGCGGCGGGGTGGCTGAAATTGGGACCACATCGAGGCTCGGGGCAATAAGCATACGAATGCGAAGCGAGGTGTCATAGTCTTTAGCTGTTGCCAGGCTGGGGCTCTCGCGCCTCAACCCGGCACTGACGGCGGTGTGAAAAATAGGATTCGGAAGGTACTGGCATGTTGCTCTTCTGGCATGTGACTGTGCAGCATGTAAGGTGTGCATGAGGGGCACTCGTGAGTTAGGAGATGAGGTCTTGTCGCTTGTCCATTGACATGGACAGGTTGTGGGTAGTCGACCCAGTTGACAGCCGGGAATCAGATGACCGGACAGTAGAACAACGACCGCGTGTCTCGGCGACTGGGCAGCAGTGTTTCCTGCGTTGCAGCTCCTCTGCAGCGCTACCTAGCTGCGGCGGCGTCACAGCTGGGCTTCCGGATTGGTTGGTGCATGTCCTGCTTTTGTGTGCGTCTCGGGTGAACATGGCGGACCTTATCACGTGGGGTGATGCTGGCGTCAACCTAGCCAGTCCGCAGTGGCTATGAGACGGGTGAAACGAGTGGCAAGGTTGGAGAACGTAGGGGAAGGCGTGGCATGCGCACACGCATACGTCAAGTCGTGTGTTGGTCACACGCATACGTCAAGTCGTGTGTTGGTCACACGCAGGATGTACGCAGGCTGGCTGGTCGGTGGGCAGATCGGGAGAGTGTTAGGCCAACGATAGGCGGGGTGCACATCTTGCACCCGAAAAGGAGGATAGGCAGGAGACAGCTTTACGAGTAGAGGGTGGTTCAGGGAAAGCGGTTGGGAACTGTGTATTGGGGAGTGCGCTTGCTGTGCGCGCCTGCGCCGGATGTACTTACCGGCGGTGCACTGTGGACTCACGGATGGAAGACAATGCCTTCTCCGCAGCTATAAATACACATCAGCTGCAATTGTACGCAGACGAATTAAGTGAGAAGGCTTTAGTTTCGCGCCGTCGTGCCCTTGGTGCTCTGCCGCCGCGTGTTCATGGTCACTGATAAAATGCAAACATTTCATCAGTGAAGGATCTCGGGCCATTGTCCTGAGGCTTATCTTTTGCTCAAAACGGTGATACATGTATGGCATGCTGATATACACGTCTTTCCTGGTAGTTTCCCTGGCTTTCTTCCAGCTGGAGTCGACAGCGCTCACATGTACGTCCAGCGATTTCAGCAAAGGTTGCAAGTATCAATATGCCGGCGTCCGCGTGTGACCACACCGAACACAGAAAGCCTGGCCAGGTGGCCGTTCTGGGAGGGCCACAGCTGTACAGGCTGGCAATTTCTCATGCAGGCATCGCGTCCACAGCGCTGGAAGGTACATCAGGAAGCTGTCCAGTTATATTCCCGCAGGAGATAGTCTTCGTAGCTGTTAATTTGGCCTTGCATCGCCCTCATCCTCCCCGAGGACGCAACTGTGCTAGTCTTCACGACAAGCTATCTAGCCATTACTCTCTCGTTCACTTATAAGGATTGCTCCTAAGCTGACGTACAGCCTCGGTCCTGTATCCCTCCTGTACACAGGCAGCTAGGTCAGCGGTAGCTCGCAAGCTACAGCAGCAGCAACCACCGTCACAGCAACAGGCTCTGGCGCAGCAACACCAGCTGGCAACGTGCTCAGTACAAATCCTCAGATCAGAGCCTTCGCTTGAGTAGCGGGTCGGCCAATATTCAAGCACAGGTGCACACTCTCGAGCTGAACTCTCGATCATCCCTGAGCGCCAGTTGCCTTGGGATTGAAGCTAGAGAGCCCCCCTAGAGAGAGATAGTGGAAGTCCACCGCAGATATTATAAAGCAAAACATCATCGTTTATGAGCATCCCATGTCGAACGAACAACCGTACGGCCTATCTAGCCAATATCACAAACATAAAAGCTAACACGACAACCGTCGTAACGGTAAAGTTTGCAAACACGGTACGGCACCAGCTTTACAGGCCATTCCTTTCCGCATAATGCAATCGTAATAAATTAAAATTGGCCATCTTATTCTCTGCACCGTCTAGTCGTCTTTCACTCCATTCGACGTAACGAAAGCATCCGCCAAGCGTATCTCTCGACAACCTAGGGCCATGTAGGGTGATGCGTTACCCGGCACCGGCTGTGTGCCGCCTTATTCACCACAGCCATACCTTGCTCCGTTGTATGTTGCAACCCGCAGGAACATCACCACAAGTTTGCATCAATTGTTTTGAGCTTTTCTTCTCTTAGGAGGACGACGAAACAATCCGTCATATGTTCTGTCAGTTCACTGTCAGTCGCCGATCCTTTACCCGCTTACACCCGCCGTGGCCACTGTGCACCACCGAAGCCTCCTTGCAACTCTTACCACCCCTCTTCCATATCCCGTCCCCTTCACGGCCATCCCAGTCATGCGGCTGCCACATGCACAGCCATACATACATGCAGGCATGCATACATACATACAGCCACACACACACACACACAGCGAACGCCAACGTAGCAAAACCAGACTCGGGGCAAACAGCAGAAATGGACGTACCAGGCAATGCTGGAAACCCGAAACCCGAAACCCCGCACACCCCGACAAAAGTGGGCATGTGGAGATCCATTACGTGTACACACCTACACGGCGTTCGTTCACTCACCTCACCCAATCCGTCCGCAAGCCCCGCCACCGCCACCACCACCCTAAACCAGGCTCTCCCTGCAGGTTAGCAGAGAGGCCTCAGTGCGGTGTGTTCCGGCCCTGCAGCTGCTGGTGCTACTGCTGCCGCTGCTACCGCTGCTGCTGCTACCGCTGCCGCTGCTGCTACCGCTGCTGGTGCTACTGCTGCCGCTGCTACCGCTGCTGGTGCGGGAATCGCAGTCCCGACCCGGTGCAGGGCTCACAAGCCAGGCGGCCAACTCCGTGACAGCGGGGACACCTGGGGTTGTCCGAAGAGGGGTTGAGCGAACAGATACATAGGACAGGAGGGCATCAGCGAGCGGCACCTTGACCGGGGCGTCACATGTGGCTCACCAGGGTGCGCACGGGACCACCAGGGGGAGGACGGCAGCGCATGAGGCGGTCGGAGAAAGATAAGGTTCCGGAGCGAGACGATGCGGCACCAGAAGAGCCCACATTTTCTGGCCAGGACATCTAAGTGTCGCCAGGCACGTGGGGTTAGCTGCCGTGGGATTCCCTCTGCCCGGCCCGTAACATGCAGATCTTCCCTCGGGCAGCACCATGAAAAGCAAAGTACCAGACCCTTTCCCGCGCGTCTTCTAGTCCTGGATAGACAGACACACACACACACACCTGTTCGTGCGCATCCAGCCGCTGCTGGCGTACGGCACCTCCTGAGGTGGAAGCCCCAGTGCCGTACGCAACTTCAGGAGAGCACCGCGCAACAACTCGGCGCGTTCTGCCGCCTGCACGCTCAAGCGACCATTGCCCTGTAGCAGATACAAGTCATAAGTTCCGCACAAGTTCCGCACAAGTGCGGGGGCCGTCCGTGAAACCGTGGGGGGCGTGGAAACAATTTAATAGGGGCGGAAGTGACATGAGGAGGGAGATACTGCTCAAGAGGTACTGCAAAAAGATAACCCCGACCACACAGCGGCGACCGTAGCAGCAGCAACACCAGCATTAAAAGATATCAATAAAAACACGTCGGCAGCAACAGCGGAGGCAGCAGCAGCAGAAGTATACGCTACTCATAGCCGGCAAAGGTACCCGACGGTTTTCGTTCACTAGCGGAAAACCGCAGATGAAACCGGTGGCCCCTTCTGCGCCCATCGCCCTTCGCCTGCCAGCCTACTCAGTCCCCTCTCACCCGGCCCCCTCCATCGCTATCCATCTGTCCATTCCCGGGAGCACACCTTGCAATGGGCGCACTCCACGACCCCGGCGCCCCTGCAGCTCAGACAGGTACATGTACCGCGCTTCAAAGATGAAGCCGCCTTTCCGGGGGAAGTCGAGGGATGCGCCGGGGAGCAGGGGAGCAGGAATGAATGCAGGGGTGTTGTCATCGAGGATAACAAAGGTGAGAACGTTGAGGTCGAGCTGGTTCTTGCCTAGGAAACGTCGCGAATCGCTACGGTAGCGGGAAGGGCTATGCTGCGAGTTTAAGTGGGGGTATGAGCATGCCTGCTAAACATGGGGAATTCCGCGCACGGCGGGGTGGCCTGCCGCACGGATATCTTGACCAGAGGCACAAACGCACCCGGTTGAGCATGACTTCTACAGACTTTTGAAATGATCCTTCCAAGGGTTTGGACTCGGCGCTGGGTGGCATGGAACTCTTGGGCGGGGACGACGATTGCTACCACAGGGCGTGCAGGGCGGAGGGGGAAGTCACGGGTCAATCAGGGATAACGCCGTGTCACGGACGGAAGCAGTAAACCTTGGTGTATAAAAGAGATGCAGAACAAGCTTCCTATGGATAGTTGACAGCCCTGCGAAGATCCTCTTTCAACAAGATCCTTTTTTCATGACGGTACGGAGTAAACGGTTCCGACATTTGATAGGATGTCTTGCGCGTCTCGGTCATACCTTGAAATTGACGATAACCCCATGTCGAGCCTTGAATGGCCATAGGTGACCGCAAAGCTGCGTGCGATGAGCTTGAGAGTACCGAAGTGGCTTTTGCGTCCCCAGCATCTTCGGTTTGTGAAGCTAACTCCCCAAGGCGTATAGAGAAAGATATAATTCCTTATTGCAAATCGACCGAAATATCTTTAAAATTGACTGATTGTAACACCGGAGCCGAGGAAGCCTGCGCCAGGGCAAACTGTGCTTCCGGGAATACTTTTTAGGCTTTCACCGAAGTTCGAGCGGCACGGAATAGTAAATTTTATAACACGTATATGTTATAGCTGTGCGATTATACATCGGAGAATTGTTTGGAATCGTTACAAGTACTGCATTTCCGTCACTCGTCACCCTTCGTCGACAGGACATGTGCGCGCACATGTTCGGGATAAACTTTCCGCTGCATACCTGATATATGTTACCTTAGATTTGCTAGCAATCGATCGTATGAGGGACTGTAATGTTATGTAGTTCAGGGGCATATCGAAGTTCAGGGCTTTAATTTTGACATCTCTGGGTTCAGTCCTACAGCAATTTGCAATCCTTACTGAGAAAGTTTACTTATACCTTTACTGACTTAGCGTGCTTGTCTGTGGAGCACACTGGCGCGGAGCATATCGCTGAAGGTTCCCATGCTCACGCTCTTTGGATTTGCGAAGTAGATTCTAAGTCAGTCTTGGGAGGTGAATCATCGGATTCTTTTGCTGCCTGTGTGGCTGAAGTAAGAGGGGTGGCTATCGGGGAATCTTGAGCACCTAAACCCTAGAGGCTTCCCACGGCGACTTGGACAGCGCTTTGGCGAGCGGCGGAAGACAAGTCTAATGCTGCCAGCTGAGCTGTTGTAACTAGGATATATCCGTGATCTTTCAGGACCTGATTGAGACCTCGTGGCGGCTGTGCCCTCTGACGAGTTGCATGGCCTTGTGCACGACATAAACCGCGACTCCACGCCCAGCGGAGTTTTCACAAACCGAATGTCCTTCTATTTTAATTAATATGGCTCTTCAACTGATGCTAATCATCGCGTGATCAGGCGCCATTTAGATATGCCACGTGCCAGGCATCTAACGGTAGTTAACAGCCAGCGCTACCCTTGGGAGTTACAGCCTTGTCGATCCAACTGCTTGTTGACTCCATTAAAATGGATTCACTACATGATCAACGGTCAACTGTGTTCCCCACTTCTGGCCCGCCGCAGGCCACCTGCAGTCGTCCCCTGACCAGTAATTCAGGCAATACAAGGCCTCCTCATTAAGGATGGCTCCTCATAGTCAAGGCATCGCTATCTCATCCACAGCACCCGCCGCCGCCCCGCCGCAGCCGCTGCCGTACACCTCCACGGCTCTGCAGTCGCGCAAACCGCCGCCCGTGGGACGCTCGTCCTTGTCTAGCCCCGGCACCTCGGCCCTGAGGGGGGAACCAGTTACAACCCCCGGTGCGGCCATGAGGAGGAGCGCCACCACAACATCGCGCTGGGTGACCCACGGGTCGTTCACTGGCGCCGGCTGCCGTTTCCCACGTGAATCGCCTTCGCGGCAGTCGGGCCCAACCAGAGGTTCCACCTCGCGGGGGCTTGCAGTCCTTGCCAGGTGCTTCAGGGAGGGTAGCAGCCCCGGGAGCCCGGCCGGGGATGTACCGCTGCCGCCATCGCCGCCGGAGCAGACGTCCGACGCACCACCGACATCCAGCGAAATTGGAGCTCATGGTGCCGCTTCCACACAGGAACCATACGGCAATGCCGTACCTTTCATACCTTCTACCCGGCAGCGACACCAGAATCACCATAATACCGCAGCCGTGGCGACGCGGCGGGCCGAGCGGGAGGAACCAGCGGCGGCCCATGGCCGAGGCGGCAATGGCCGCTCCGCTGCTGAACCCGCCGGCGTGGGCAGCGGGGAAGAGGCGGAGGCTTACGCCGACCTGGATGAGGAGATTCGGCGTCAGGCACACGCGCTCCGAGAGGCGATGTTTTTGGAGGCAGAGCAGCGGGTGAGTTTGGCTGTACAGCGTGTTACAGCAAAGAAAAATGACACGGCGGGCGGTCCTGCCTTCCGTGTGGACAAATGGATGGAGGTAGAAGGGCAATAGTGTCGATGGCGTCCTGTGAACGATGATGTTTCGTCGGTTGAGGGTCATGATCAGGAGGCGGGTGACAACAAGAGCCGTTGCAGTTTTTTGTTGAAGATCTCTTTTCTGCGTATTGTAGTCTCTTGGAATGTGACGACGTTAGGGTATTTCGACTCGCAGTGCCAACGGGCCGTGTGTGGATGGGCCTGTGTCTCCTGTTCAGGCAATCGCTGTGCACCCCAACATCCTGGTAGAGGACCTGGCCGCAGAGGCTACCGTACCGTACGGCGCCGCCGGTAGCCTTGACCCCCCCGCGTCGCGCGGTGACGAGGGGGAGGCCGCGGGGCCTCCCAGTCGCGGCGCGGGACCTCACAGCGGTTTGGCGTTGGAGAGTGTGGATCCAGATACGGGCGGATTCACCACCAGCTTGCCGGCCGTGGATCCAGCGTACGACGATGTGGGACGAGCAATCCGAGAGGATCATGGTGGGGCCCTGGATCCTGGAAACGGAACATGCGTGCGGCGTTGCATGTGCTCACGTTTGCAGCTGACCTGCGGACACGTGGATGAAGGATAAGAGCGGGGAGGGGGTGGTCGCTTGCGCCGGCCAGTCGTAAATCGACCCCAACCAACCAGCGCCTTAACACGCTGAGGACCCCAACCCTGCGTTAACCTTTGGGCGAGAATGATAGCGACCTCTCACAGGAAGGGTGTCTGTCTATCTGTCTGTCTGTGTCTGTCTGTGTCTGTCTGACTGTCTGTCTGTCTGTCTGTCTGTCTGTCTGTCTGTCCGTCTGTCTGTCTGTCTGTCTCTACCTCACGCACACACGTTATGATTTCTTCCCAACCTCCACGCACTTCCTCGCTTCACTGCGCATTGTGCGCGTGTGCAGTGTGCATACTTTTACACATCCCCACGCGCCCACCGTCCCCACGCCCCAGTCAGCTGAAACCCCCCACACACAAGCTGACCCTTTGCTGCTCTTGCATACGATTCCCACCACAAGACACACACATCCGCACCTTCAGTCGCCTCCGCCTCAGGGAACGGTTTCCCAGTGTCAACCCCGCTCTCTCCTCTTCCCCAGCACGTCTCCCCAACGGCGCCTTCCGCACACACATTGCAATGCGCACAGCAGGTGCTCGTGGTCGCCGTCGTCGCCGGGGCCCCACCTCCTCCCTGCTTGCGACTGAGGCCCGGGCTCGCAAGGTCGCTACCGCAGAGGACCTCCGGGAGGACCTCCTGGCTGCGGCCCCCGAGCTGCAGGTAGAGGAGTGAGGAGGGTGGGCTTAGGAACTGGAGACGGCGGTAATGGGGCCATGAGGGGGGGATGTTGCGCTCCAAGGCTTCCATGGGCCCGTGTCTGCAGGAGACACGGGCCTCCAGGACTTGTCATGTCCTGGACTTGAACAATGAAGTGCACCTGGGGCTTGCACCTGGAGAAGCGAAGGGGAAGACGCGGGGAGTTGCGGGCTATTAGTTATTGGTTATTGCACCCACTGCTGTGGTAACCCCCTACTTGTTCCCCTTGCGTGCGCATTACCCGTCCCGCCACCATCCCCGATTCTCCGGCCGCCCGCCGTCTGCTGTACTTCCTCCTCGTACTTGCCGTACCTTACCGTCCCCGCGCATGCACACAGGACACGTACCGTGCATTTGGGTTGCCGCATTCGGAGGACCCGATGGCGGCCAGCGACGGGGAGGTGGAGGACCTGCTGGGTAGGCGGGGATACCAAACAGCGTGGAGATAAAGGGGGGACGCGCGCGTTTACGCAGCCCAACATCCTCCTCCTCCTCCTCCTCCTCCTCATCATTATCATTACATCATCGCCATTACCACCATCCTCATCATCCTCATCATTACCAACGTCATCACATCATGATAATGGTCACCACCAGGGATCAGGGGGATCAGGGGCAATAGCAGCGTCCGGCAATGCCGTGCCAGGAGCCATGCGGCCATGCACTTCCCCGCACTGCGGACTACTATGAACCACACGCATATGGCCCGTGCCTATTGTTTCGCCCCACGTCCGCACCTGGCATGTCGTGGCGTGCGTTTGTTGTGGTGTGGTGATGCAACTGATTTGTTCGCAGCATAGAGCGCAGATTCGATGTGACCTGGGTCCCCGACCCGTCCCTCCGTACTTCCGTACATTCGTGACAACTGAAATACTCGCCTCCCGATCCTCCGGGAGTTTTCCTGTTCCTGCTACAGAGGAGATGTCCTTTGGTCTGGAGGGCGCTGTCCTGGCGGAGTCGGCGGATCTGCCCCCGGAGGATGTGTCCGCACTTTCTGACCCGTTGGGGCCGCCAGCTGGGGGAGGGGGAGGAGGAGGCGGCCCGCTGGAGGCGCTGGAGGCGCTGGAGGTGAGCAGCGGAAGTGACGGGGTGACGTTGCCCGCGGTGGCCGGGTTGGGTCCAAGGGATGAATATCCTGGCTGCATGTACGCGGGGCGCAGCGGCAGCAGAGACGGGGCCGGGGGCGACGGGGCCGGGGGGAAGGAGGGGTGGCGTCCAGGAAATGTGGAGCACAGAGTGAGTAGCAGTGAGTGGGGAACAGAGATTGGAGACAAATGAACATATATACGTGACGGACGCTTGCTGCCAACTGTGATTTGGGAAGGTTGGCGGCGAGGCGAGGGCCCTGATGCAGTGCTGCTGCTGCGGCGGCGGCGGCGGCGGCAGCCGAAGGGGCGCTCCATAGCGGGCGCAAAACCGGCTGTACATCGGCCGCTCGGGGACAATGCGCGCGGCGGATTCCGGGCGGTGGAATTACGGTAGATGGTGCTGTAGGGCTATTGCGCCCGTTTTTTATTCCGTTTTTGAATCCACCATGTCTTTGGCCTCGACAGCACCGGGAGGTGTTGGACCTGCTGGAGAGCGGCGGCGCTAGCGCCGTTGCCTCCACGTCCTTCGAAGGTGACTACACGGACGTCTCCAACGTGATGCCGTCGCCGCTTCCGGACATCCCAGTACCCGAGTCGCGCGGTGGCGGCGGTAGAAGCAGCGGCGGCGGCGGTGGTGCCGCCGACAACTCTGGAAGTAGCGGCCCTGGGGCGCATAAAGTGGCGGTAAGCCGAGGTAATGGCAGCGCAGCCGCCACCGCGGCGGGGGCCGTCCGCGCCCGCCGTCGATCATCGGCTCGGAAGGGCGGAGTCCGCGACGGGCCGCGTGCGGCCCACATTCACCAGCCGTCGTTCTACCACAACAGTCCTGACGTGGCAGAGGAGGATCTCGTACGGCGGCACCGACTGTTTCCTACCGCAGCGGCTGCTGCCCGCGCGGTTCGCGGGGTTGACCGTGTCAGCAGCGGCGCCGCGGAGGCGGGTACTCGTGTACGGCAAGACGCTGAAAATGAGGGGCTCCAGGAGCCGGCGGTTGAAGCTGCAGCTGCTGCTGCAGCTGCTGCTGCTGCCGTCACCCCGACGAAAACTGCCAGCTGGGTACGGCAGGCCCCGTTGTACAACACTAGTCCAGACGTGCCTGACGACGAACTGGAACATCCGACGCCAGTACCGGGGTGCGTGCTACTGCCGCGGGATACGACGCCAGGAGGAACTACTGCCATTGCCGTACCGGTTGCAGACCCGGCTGGGAAATCATCGGGATCCGACGACTTGTTGAACGCTCCCAACGACGGTAGGAGCAGCGCCACCGCCCAAGCAACACCGCCGCAAGCTGCTCCAGCAGAGCCCCTCTCACGGGCTTCAGCGACGGCGTCGAAACACGCTCCTCGACCTTCGCGGCCGTCACAACCGCCGCCGCTGCCGCCGCCATCGCCCATGGCCACAACCGACAACGGCCGCCGGCTTAGGTCGCTACGCGACGTTGACCGCCAGTTCATCGACTCGGATACCGTTAGCGGTTGGGACGAGCAGGCACAGGATCTGCGCACAGCCATGCAGAGTACCGTGCCGAAGCAGGCCAGGCAGGGATGTCAGGCCACGCAGCCGCCGGGCGGCCGCAACGCCAGTAGCTCCCAGCAGCCGCAGACGATTGGCGTACATGGTCTCACTGACGGCGATAGCGTCACTGCAGCCGCTGGCGGCGGGAGCAACAGTGGCGGTGGCGCCGACGGGCGCCCGGTGATGGTCATGCGGGTTGAGTATGTGCCGTCGCAAACGTACGGCGTGGCCCGAACGGCGGCCGTACTAGCGGCGGACGGCCAACTTACTCTGCTGGCGCGTCCCGCGGGACCATCCCCAGAGCGAGTGCGGGCGGCTCTAAAACTGCTACGGATGGCGCCCGACAGCCGAGACTTCAAGACCAGCGCCGCGGAGGCTGCGGCGACGGCGGCAATTCACGACGAGCAGGAAGCCGCCGCCGTCACAGAGGCTGCCATGGCGGCAGTGGCGGCGGCGGGTACGCCGGCAATGGAGCTTGAAGCGCAGCTAAGGCCGCCGTCGCCGGTGCCGCCTGTAGGCGAGCGGGACCTGCAGCCGGGCCTGATTCTTGGCCAGGTACGACCCGACAGGTGCTTGGATCGTTTTGGGTCACGGGTGGAGGTCCTAGCCAGGCGCAGCGTGAAGGGAGTTGCAGGACGCATAGGGTTGCCGTGCTCGCTGCGCTCGCGGTCGCCCTTCTGAAGTTCGGGAAGGGCGGCAGCACGCATCCATGCGCAGGGTGGGACCGTGGGGTGGTTGTGGTGCTCAAGCCCTGCGTGCCTGGCAGGACCAGGACGCGGTTTTGGTCATATGACATTGCAGTACCGATATTCTTGGCTTGGATTGCACAGCAGGGTGCCATGCGATGTGTTGCCTTCATGCGTGTGGTGCTGAACCATGCGTTGTCTAAATCAAGGTTTTGACCGGTGCCGCCGTCGTGTAGGGCCCACTGTTGGCTGTTCCTACACGGCTAGCTGTCAGATCTTGGAAAGCCAGCCTGCTCAACGATGAGATTGTGTCTTCATCTGACGGATTGCTGACCATGCTTCGATCGCTAATCCCAGTTCTTGCCCGCGTTTTCTTTCCTTCCCTTTCGCTCGTCAAGTCGGAGATCGACCCCGAGGAGGTGCCGGCAGGTGCGTAAGGGGGAGGTGTGCGTGTGGTGTGAAGGGGGGGATCGGTGCTGAAGTCTTGGGGGTTGGGGGTTTGCCGGCGAATGGAGAGGCAACAGGGACTTGCAATGGATTTTCCAAAGGGGTTGGGGTATGGATAACGTCCGCCATTAGCACGCGCGACTGCTGATGCATCGGATCTGAGTAGGGGGTCTTGCGAGGAGCAGCTGCGTGCAAGGCAAGAACCGTATTGAATGAGGGTGGAGGCACAGTTAAGGGCGGCACGATGTCCAGTTTGCGGGGCTGTTGCATTTCATAACCTCGCGCACCGCTGCCTCTGCAATCTACATTTCGCTGCAGATCCCGGTTTTCATTTGAACTCGCCATGGATGGACGGCCATGGCCCGCTCTACCCCCACGATGCATACGCTGCGCCAACAATGATGGGCGCGGAGGGGCACATGTTGGGACTGCACGCGAACATGTGGCACGAAGAATATGAAGATTATGATGAGGTCATGGGACAGATCCATGATGGACAACGCTCGGGATGGAGCGAGGACGGCGTGAATGGCGCGTTCAATAGCGACGTCTATTGACGGTTGTCTGGGAGCGTCAACAACGGCCGGGAAGATCGGCCTCCACTTGCTTGGGTTGTTGGATTGAGGAGAGATGTTTTCAGAAAAGTGTTTGTAATGCTTTAATTGGGACTCTGGGCTTACTGGTATGGGTGTGCAGTTCGAAGTTTCCGATTCAATAAGTTCGACGGTTGGCGCGATGTGACAGTTTGGACTGGAAGGGCGATGAAAGGAGTGGAGTTTGAATACCTATTCTGATGCTGGGTTTTCAGGATGCAGCGTCGATGGTGGGCTGATAGTCGTGGTCCGTCATGCAACAGGGATTTTGGATTTCACCCTGTACTTAAGCTCCCCATTTGCAAATCTGTAAGCATATGTTACGCAATCCTCATTCATTTTAAGTATTCATTTGCTACAAGAAGGTTTTGGTCGTCATCTATTTGTTTCCATTGCAACCACGCACCATGGCCGAGAAGAAAGTTATTGCTATGTTTGACGTTGATGGCACGCTGACTGCGCCGCGGAAGGTAATAACGCAGCCCTGCGAAATCCGTAGCTGTAATGGATCTCTTCGTCGCGTTGGCTGAAGTAGCGACTTTTCGTCGTTGCGTAGACGGCAACGAAAGAGATGCTGGAGTTTATGCAGGAGCTTCGCAAGGTAAGCTACTCCTGCACCTAAGCGCTGTGCAAGGAAGAGGGTGCACTTCAACCGCCAGCAACTGTTGTGCCGAGCAGAGGGTCAAGGTCGGCATCGTCGGGGGTTCTGATCTGCACAAGATTGCGGAGCAGCTTGGCGATGGATGTGAGTTTCGCTTGATTGCCACAAGTGCGCATCCCAAAACCGTAACACGTGCTTGTGTTGCCCCTCGACCCCTGGTACCTCGCTTAGTCCGCGTGCGCTTTGGCTCCTGCGCCAAGAGCTTATTATGCACCTGGACGAACTTGACCCAATTGAAAAACCATGCGCTTCCGTTTTAAACAGTATTGACTTCGTATGATTACGTCTTCGCCGAGAACGGCCTCGTCGCTTACAAGGATGGCCAGCAGGTAGCTGTGCAGAGCCTGAAGACCTTCTTGGGCGAGGATAAGCTAAAGGTGCGAGTGTGGGATTGGTTATCGTAGAGCCAGGGTGGCTGGGCGGGTCAGGTGGGGAATGGCTGCTAGAAAGTGCATGCAATCACAGCTGCAGATGACCCTGCAAAACCTAGCAGTACCAACTTCCAAGTAACTTGGCCTTGTCTTGCGCAGGAGCTAATTAACTTCTGCCTTCACTACATCGCCGATCTGGATATTCCCATCAAGCGTGGAACGTTCATCGAGTTCCGTAATGGTATGCTGAACGTGTCACCCATTGGCCGCAACTGCAGCCAGCAGGAGCGCGACGAGTTCGAGAAGTTTGATGAGACGGCAGGTGTCAGGTACGTGAGCGACTTCCTTTAACGAGGGTGTTGACTCTCGGATTCCGTTTCACCCGTGCATCTTACACCGATTCCGCTACTGAAGAGCGAGTGCGCCGTGTGCATTGTGGAATGGACATCTAAGCACTTGGTGCACTTTTGATACTGCAGGAAGGCCTTCGTGGCGACGCTCAGGGAGAAGTTCGCACACTTGAACTTAACATACAGCGTTGGCGGCCAGATTAGCTTCGACGTGTTTCCCCAGGTGGGTGTGTCGGGCCTCGTCCCATAAAAACCTTCCGTTGCATGATGATGGCCGGGGCACCTTGCGTAGCAGCGTAGTAGCGTGAAGAGCCCTTATTCGGGGGAAAGCGGAGATATGCCCGGAGCCTTCAGTGGTCCCCTGCAGAGCTACCTAGCTCGTTTGCGAAATTGTGCTATATTCTGTCTGCTGTGGACGGCGATGCTGTTGGGGCCAATTATGATGCTCCGTATTTGGGTCACACTTTCCAGGGCTGGGACAAGACCTACTGCCTGCAATTTCTCCAAGACTTTGATGAGATTCACTTCTTTGGTGACAAGACATATCCGGTGGGTTGGATTCGTGTGTCGTGTGCATGGTATCTGCGTTGACGGGGAAACCATTCCGCACATGTGGCCATAAGTGGCAACGATGAAGGACTGCGATGTTCGAAAGTCTTAGAACTCCCTTGAAAAGCTAGTCTTGAGCTGGCTAGGAAAGGCGAGCCGATTGCAGCTTTTCATAGGAGTGTGTGGTGATCGAGGCGAATACTGACTGCACTGCTGATGTCACATGGCATATTGGACGGCACGTAGAACATTACTCGAGACGGTCGGCCTGGTAACATGGCTCACGCCGCAAATGCAGGGCGGCAATGATTTCGAGATCTTCACCAGCGACCGCACAGTTGGGCACACCGTCACCAGCCCTGATGACACGCGCAAGCAGTGCACGGAGCTGTTCCTGCAGGCATAAGAGAGCTTATAAGCAAGTGCATGTGAGCAGTACCGAGAGCCTAGGCGATCGCTGAGACCCGTCTTGAGATGAGCAGCGACAACAGCACGGTTTGTTTTTTTGTTGATCTTCGAACTTCTCGGTTATGTATTTTAGCACTGAGACCTGCCGGGGGCTGCGTAAAGCCAGCGAACTGCTGACGCCATCATAGGATGTATGAGGGCATGGTGGACGAATTGGGCGTTCATTGCGTTCCGCTGCGTCCGGATAACAACACGGATACCGTGTGCTGTCATGTCCGTGTGTTGGCCTACAATGAACAAGCAGCGTAATAAGAGGTTATTTATCTAGGACCCCTCACACAGCCTCTGCGTGACTTCAACCGCCGGTGGTTATTATTGACCTGACAGTTTGGAGCGGAGGCCGCAATAGCAGGGGGTCCCAGCACTACCCAGGCGCTGAGCAAGCTCGACACCTCCTGTATGCTGACCTCAATATATGGGCATGCAGGGGTAACTGCTTTGACATGGCAGGCGATAATGGCATATGTGCTTGTTCCGTATTGGAGACATTGGAGTGTTTCGGTTTTGAAAACAGTCGAAAGATGTACTGCTGGTGCTTGACGTTTTTTAGTGGGACTAGTTTCCTTACGGCCTTTGACTGTGCGGTATTGGCCGAGGGACGCTTTTTCATTGAGTTTTCCTCGCCTGGAGGTTGAGATCGGTTTCGACGTATCTAGGTCGGCCGGTCGGCTACCTGTAAGTAGATAAGATAAGGCTGGTCTACCATATCTCGCGTACGTTGTCCGCACATTCTCATGCAGTGCTCAGTCTACGAAACAGAGACCTGAAACAGAGTTGGAAGAAAGCTAAAGCGACAAAATCAAACAAATTACTCATGTTGCCTGCTAGTTGTCCACGTTCTTGCCAGTGCCGTACAATCCCTTCTCGTAAATGTAAGACAACACGCTCTGCGGAACTAGGTAGCGAACTGGTCGACCGGCGGCCAGCTCCTCACGCACTTTAGACGAGCTAATTGAGTTGCCCACCCTGTCGTATACAACCAGAATACGTTCCCGATAGTCGTGCAATACGTTTCCCGGTTGGCTGAGAAGTTTTTCCAAATCCGTGCCTTCGCGCGCCACGCACACCACGCCATGCTCCCGAAGAATGACGTCCGGATCGCGCCAGACTCCCGGCACGGCCATGGATGCCAGGACGTCGCCACCGCACAGCAGCATTGCTCGCACCGGCGGCAGGTGCGGCTGTGAGGTTGGCTGCTCCGCTGGCGGATCCCGGGCTTGGAATTGCTGCTGTCCGTCGGCCGCCGTCGATGGCTGCGGCCGTGCTGATGCCGCGTGGCTGGACGTGTTCTGTAAGCTGAAGCCCAACACGACCTCCTGTACCCTGGCGCTCTCTGTAGCTGTATGTGCTCTGGAGGTAGCAGCATCCTGCTCGGCCATTGCCTCCTGGATGCACCCAGTTGCCCAGCCTCGCAACTCAGACTCCACGCGCCGCAGCACAGCAAGGGTCCGCGTGTAACCGGGCTGGCGTGCTTCCCAGTCGTAGACCATTGTAAGGTTCATCGTATGATGCCGCGTGGCGTGAGCGTGAGCATGCGGACCCAAAGCTGCGCTATCGTACACCTGGCCGCTGGCTGATTCGGCTTCTGCTGCCAGGCGGCACATCGCAACGCGATCTGCGGCGGGCGCTAGGCCCGCCTTGCCGTACGCATCAGCGACCGGTGACAAGTATGCGGCCCAGACGTCGTAGCCGCGCTGCATTGGGAGAGCCAAGCGGGCAAGAGGGCTGACGTGATGAGGACTGGCGCACCATGGCTTACCCTTTTAAAACTTCGATCGTTGCAGGTATACATTGTTGCAGGTTTCCGGAGCAGGATGGCTGGCAAGACAGCCGATTCGGCTAAGCCCTGGGCCAACCGTGGGGTTGCCGGATCGCCCCTATCCCGAAGGTCCATGCATCTCAACGGACAGCACGCGGGAACGGCTGCAGGTTGATCTGGACTTCACCCGCCTAACTTCTGAGCAACTAGCCTTCTTGGCCCTGACTTCTGGCCCTCACAACACTGGCTAAGCTTTCTTACTCGCATCAGCTCATCGCCAGCCAGGTCCACCATCCGCATATGCATGATAGTAGGGGGGTTAAAGCTTCCGCAGCAAACCAACACCAGGGGGGTTCGCGGCGGCATGGAGTGCATCTTACAGCTCAATTTCTCGGTCGGCAGAGCCGCCGAAAGGTGCGTATGCCCGGCACATGCAGCGGTGCCGTGGACGCCGCGCCATGCCGTCCGTTCTGCAGTGCCTTCCGCCTCGGCGCTACGCTCGCTCGTAGCCAAAGATAATGCTGCCGCGGTGGCGGCAGCTGCGGCAAAGTATGTGCCACGCCTTCGGGTAAGGCGCTTAACCGGCCCAAACATGCTAAAGCATTAAATACTCTTATCAGTTTAGGGCTGCCGTAGCAAAATAATTAACACACGCTGTCAACAGGAAAATGGTAATTAGATTCTCGACCCAACACCGATAACAATCACCGAGTTGAAGCTACCTTCCAGAATTTAGAGATAGATACCAGTCCTTACTAAAATACTTCAAATTAATGTCAGCACCCAATACGGATAACGCCTTGCTCTGTCCCTAGGGTCGCATGGTCTCGGAGCTGTCCTGTTTCTGTGTAACGACTACTGCAAGAGTCGACGCAAGCGTTCAGGAGACAGATCATTGAATGAAACTGTATACCTTCGGAATAACTAGCAGCAGTCGTCTTGGATGGTTTGCACGGGCGTGCATAAGGCTTACATAATGCGCGATCATCGGTACGTGAAAACAGGGTTGAAAGGTTTGGGTCAAGGGTCAAACTCTCAGCATCTGGGGACATGATGCGACGCGTAGCACTGCATACTCGCGAAAGCTGTCAAACTCGCAAACGAGTCACTCGCAGAATTCTCCAAACACGCGGGCACTCCATCCTAAAAATGAGCCTTCAAAAACTACGCCAGCCACCTCATGGAAAAGAAGATACAAAGCCAAAGCCAGCGGACGGAAACGACAGAATCCAATAAGACACAATTATCCATTACGGTTGAAACCCTGCGAAACCAGGTCGTAGGAAGTTGATGTATCGAGGTCGTTGTGTCGTACCACGAACCCGCTCCTGATATGACTGCCTCCTCGCGCAGCACCTTGCAGTGCAGGTAAGGCAAGCCGCCTTATATCGTGCTATGCCGCAGCTAGAGCACTCTGGTTTATAAAGAGACTAAACCATACCCAGTGCTTCCAGCAAGCTGCAAAGACCCATAGAAGTACAAGAATGCCATAATCATAAGCCGCGTAACACCGGGGCCATAGCTGTGAGATTGTGATTGCCCCAAGCACCACTGCACAAAATAAATTCATCTTTCACGTCCGGCCAACATCCAGGACGACAATGCTAAGCATGAAGTCCTTAGAAGGCAGGCACTTGGCCGGATTATCAGCCTTATACGATATCTGAAATATGCCAACCCGCGCTCCATTACGGCTTCCGTTACGCTCATCCTTATACCTTAACCTCATATGACAGTGGATGCGTGCCCTAAAGGGTCCCACCTGCTAGTCTACGTAACACGAGCGCTTCAGCATTTTTCATGTGCCGCACACAAAGCAAGTCAGCAGCCTACTGCGACGACCATGCCGCTTACTGCCGACAACCATGCGAGCCTCCTCCCCTGATGGCTCAGGAGTGCCCAGTTTGCCGTCCTCTGTCCTCCCCGTTTTTAGGGGATCTGTTACGTCTACCGGATACTCTGCTGGAACATCCTTGCTGCGCGCCATAGGCAGCTCCGCCTCCGCGTGCACGTACATGCCCGTGTCATTCAGGCCTGGGGCGGCCATGATGCCGCTGCTGCCCGGTTGTGACTCGATTACCCGCGCAGCGCAGCCACCGCAAGCAGTCTCAATTGGAGACCTAATGCGCACCTGCATTCGCGGGGATCAGTGGGGAAAGATTCACGTTGAAGCAGCTGCAGTGCTCACCGATGGCGAATCGAAGCTCGTCCAAACGACGATGGAGGATACTCAGGTGACCGACCAGCAGCTATCTAGGTTGCCGTCTGTAGATGCATCGACAAATGCATGCATCCCCATGTCGCCCTTTCAGCGTGCTTGTCTTGGTTGTTTGACTACCTTACCGTTGCGGGGCTACAAGGCTCCGGCACAGGCAGCTTTCCTTTGCACGCGGATGCCTCGGAAGGCATCACTGCCGGCGGCGCCGCCGTACGTGCATCCACGACGTGGATATCTTTTGTGCGAGCTGAGCTCATGGTTAACGGCGGCCCATCCCTCGCGCTGTCAGCTGCTGGGGCTGAGCTTGAGCGATGCCGCTCAGCACGTGGCGGCACTCGCGGCGGGCATGCTGCGCGGGGCGGCGTCGCGGCAGTGGCAGCGGCAGTGACACGACTCTCGGCTGCACATGCCCGCACGTCACGCCGTCGCTCAAGTGCGTCCTTCAAGAGCTGCGCCACCGCGTCATGGCCTTCGCGCCGCGCAAGGTCGCAAGCCGTCCGGCCTACGGTACAACAGGGGTCCGTGGGGAAAAAGCGTGCAGCATTTGCACGTAGCTGCAAAAGTAGGCATGGATGCGGCCGCACGCTGATCCTTCCACATCGTTTTCAAACATTTTTTCCAAACAAGCGTAAAGCTCCTAAGGCAAGACGTCCAAGCGATAATCGATATGGAGTTAGCGGCGATTGAGGTACACATTTGCGTCCCAGTGCTGGGGCCTAACACTGACGGATAGGTTTTCATTTACAATCTGCCAGCAACTGACTCGCTGGACACTTTAACAGGACGCACGCCGCTTCCCAGGGGACTCACCGGCACCGTCACGGACACCTGCAAAGGCACTGCGATGCAGCAGCAGCTGTGCAACGCCGAAGGAGCCTGCCAGCGCGGCGTAATGCAGGGCCGTCCTGCCGCCCGCAGCCCCACCAGGAGTTAATGCGTAACTCAGGGCACCCCTCACGCCCTGTAGAGCTCCATGCTGCTGCTGTTGCTGTGCGCTCTCGACAGCATTCACATCGACGCCATGGTCCTAAATTTGGGACATGGGACCACGCGGATGTTCCACGGGGATGTTTTCGCGAATTGGAGCTCTGCTTCACGTCGCCTTGTGCTGAAGCCAGTACCTACTCGTTAAAACCTAGCGCCACAAAGCTGCACATAAGCTGCAAATTACATTTCAGCACACACACCTGTAATCGCCCTCACAGCACAGACCGGACTGGCATGGGTACCACGCCATCCTGCCATCATGTCTAGACCCCATGACGCACAAACATGCATGCCGGCACACCCACCACAAGGTAGGCCACGCGAGCCATATTGCCTAGCTGCGCCGCTTGGATCAGGCTCGCAGGACGCAGCGGCAAAGCCGCACCTTGATAGCTCGATGGGCTGCGCGCATGACCTGCGTTGCCAAGACGACGCAGCAAGGGCGGTCATTGCATATCAACAGGATTGGGCAGTGACCCAAATCGTCACTTGCCAAATCGTACTTGCAAACCGTACTTTTTAATTTTTTTACACAAAGTATGCATCGTTGTACGAACGGGCGGTTTCTATACTGTGATCTTTGCAAAATACATGCAGCTTGCATCTTCCCTTGATGGCTTCATGAGCCCTGTTGGCTAATAACCACCAACGCCAGTTAGCCAGGTAGACTCCAGATTGATTCAGGCTCTTACTTTGTTGAGTGGAGAGATGCGACGACGTCAGCCCATCCATATCAGAGCTGAAGCGCACAACACTAGCCGAAAAGCTGCTGTCATTGCAAATGGAGCTTCCGCGCCGGTGCTGCCGACGAACGCGGCCGCCGGACGACGCCAAACAGGGAAGTGCAGGATCCGAATCCAGGGCCGCCGCGCGCCCAGGCCCAGCACCGGCTCCCGACGGAAAGGACGGCAGCGCGACAAGATAATCACGCAGCTGTGACAAGCTGTATTGCGCAGCCAGCTGTACGCGCTGGTACTCGCACAGCGACATGACGTGCAAGGCCTCGCCTTCGGCCAGAAGTTGTCGTATACTGGAAGTAGCGGCCGCGGCGGACGCAGCCGCTGCTGCCTTACTTGGCTGGGAGCCGGGGTTTGCTTTCCAGCCGCCGTTGATGATTCCAGTCGATATACCCTTGCAGGTCGGCATGGCTTGAACTCGTCCTCCGCCGCTGCTTGCGGCAAGGCGAGCAGCTCCCGGGTAGTACACGCAGTGCTTCGACATGATATGAAACGCCAGCACCGCATCATACTGTTCCGCTGCAGCCATCACCACGGCAAAGTGCTTCACGGGAATGACGGCAAATGGGTAGCCTTTATCAAGGCATTTTGTCACCACGGCAGCGGTTATCGCCACCAACTCTGAGGATGCATGCATGGCAAGCGATGGTGGCAGAGAAGACAGCCCCCTCCCAGAGGGGCCTGCTGGAGGCGGCGGCAGCCCTGGCAGCAACAAGGGCACATACCCCTCGTACGCGGGCGATGAAATCTCCTCATTGCCGCCATGCATTGCAACAGGTCCAGGCTTATGCACCACTCCGGGGTTCCCATCAAGCGGCCCAGGAGCTCCAGTCCGCCCGCTGTTGGGCGGGATGTAAGCGTCCAGGCCGTTCACAGCTGCTCGCCGGGTGCCGGTGCTGGATTCAAGCCGTGACAATGGCAGCTGAGCTCTCTGGCGAGCGGACTGAATAGCTTTTAGGTAATCAGGCGTGAAGCCATCAACACCCTCACGTCCATGCCGGATCACCACATCATCACCCCTGCTCGCCGCAGCTTCTGCTGCGCTGTCGAACATGGGAGCGCCGAGCCAGCTGTCCACCACGTCACGGATGACAAGGCGCGCCGAGGAGCCTGCGGCCGCAACAGGCTGGAGACTGCTGCTGCTGCTGCTCCCCGCCTTGACAGGCACTGGCAAGTTTGGTTTGGCAACAGGCTCCTGTGGTGTGCGTACAGCGGAAAGGAGTTAAGGGCCGCATGCAACTGCGCAGAACGCTCATACAAGCTGCCGTAAGATCTTGGTTTGCCACCGCAGGAAGTCACACGAGGACAGCCCTCGTCCCTAACAGTGCTCGTAAGAGCCCCCGTCTGTGCAATGCTGCACCGCCGAGCATCACCTGAATTCCGCATAATGCAAGACTGTTACATGTCACCATGTCACCGCAGCGATATAAGGAGCATAAGGTTGGAAACGACCTGCTTACATCTTACCGGCCAGGCAAGCACTTGAACACCCGCGCCGGCCATACTGATGCTGTTTTGGTGCTGCGATGATCGCTGCTCCTGGTTCATCTGGAACGATGCTGCAACCGGGAGCAGCGCGAGGCTGGGCTGCGGCTCTCCGGACGGCTGCAGAGTGAAGAGGCTATCGGTTCCTGGTATGGAGCAAGTGGTTT